TTGGTCTCTATTTCAATCGCTAAAAGACAAAACATAATTAATAATGTATTTGGTCTCTAAATTAGCCACTATAATGACCAAGAATTTTTGGTCACTAAAAATAGTTGCTAAATGATGATTTTGTTGTAATGAAAGAAGTCGTCTTGAGAAAAAAATTAAAAAATAGCAGCAAAGAACAGTTGCAGAATTGAATGGTTGGTTTGCATAGTATGTGCATTGAGAATTTAGTAATAATATACATATAACAAAATGACTCACTTAAAAATGAGTTAAGAAAGTCAATTTTATACTATTTGAGTTCACAGTCATATATATACATGGAATAACCCTGCATATTTAATTGAGATTATTAAAATCAACAATCTTTTTAAGATGTCACTCTCTCTCTTGTAAACGCTGAGAAGAAAATGATCCATCAACTAAAAAAGAGGTCGTCTCAAAAGAGTACGAGAGAGAAAAGAAGTAGTCTCAAGAAAGTACAAGAGAGAAAATAAGTCATCTAAAAGAAAATAGCAACGAAAAAAAGTCACAGTTTTAAATGGTTTGTTTGCATAGTATGTACATTGAAAATTTAGTAATAATAGAATGACTCACTTAAAAAATGAGTTAAGAAAGTCAACTTTGTACTATCTGAGTAATAATATATATACATGGAACAATCCTTATTTTAGACCCACATATTGAATGATATGCTTATTTTAACTAAGATTATTAAAATCAACAATCTTTTTAGGATGTTATTCTCTTTATATAAACGGTGAGAACAAAATGATCTATCAACTACCTCTGGGACAATAGCTTGATCACACTCATTGTAAAGAATAAGGTTGATCACATTATATATGTGACGTTAATCACTATAAAACTCGTTTGTTGGACGTGTTGATTTATCAAAAAATTTTAAAATAGTTAAGAAAGTCAACTTTGTACTATCTGAGTTCATGGCCATTATATATATATATATATATATATATGTAATAATCCTTATTTTAGGCTCACATATTAAATGATATGCTTATTTTAACTAAGATTATTAAAATCAACAATCTTTTTAGCATGATGCTCTCTCTTTTGTAAACGATGAGAACAAAATGATCCATCAACTAACTCTAGGACAGTAGCTTGATCACACTCATTGTATGGAATAAGATTGATCACATTGTATGTGTGACTTTAATCACTATAAAACTTCTTTGTTGGACTTGTTGATTTATAGTTTTTTCCTCGTAATCATTATAAAACTTTTTCTTTAGCCTTGTTATTTTGTGAAGTTTTTTTCTATTTCTTTTGGCACTTTTAGACCTAAAAATGCTTGATGTTCAACAATGTTGCCTACTGATGAAGAGCTCAAAGATGATGTGCTTATTCCATATTAGTATTTCTATCAGAAGATTATAGCTGCCTTATAGAATACAACGATGTATCTAATGAGAGTTAAGGACGGTCGTATACACTGCATTTACTACATGTGCAAAATAGTACATTATGTAATATAGTCAATTACCACCTGGTGAAAGGAAGCAATTCTGAGAGGTGCCCTAAACGTCTATCATCAATTCTGAAGAAAATTATTGTTCTTTTCTAGTTTTCAATCATCAAGTGGGCACATACTGACTTTGTAAAAAAAAAAATGTTTGTTGTAGGAAGTTACCGAGATAAAGAAAAATAATGATGCAGCACATTTGTAAGTGCATGAATACAACAGAGGAAAAAAGCTATCTCAAGAGAGAACGAGAGATAAAAGAAGTCGTCTCAAAAAGGTACAAGAGAGAAAAGAAGTCATCTAGGAAAAAAATAACAATGAAGAAAAGTCGCAATTTTGAATGGTTAGTTTGCATAATATGTACATTGAGAATTTATTAATAATAGAATGACTCACTTAAAAAACGAGTTAAAAAAGTCAACTTTGTACTATCTGATTTAATGACCATATATATACATAGAATAATTCTTATTTTATACTCAAATATTGAATGATATGCTTATTTTAACTAAGATTATTAAAATCAACAATCTTTTTAGAATGCTGCTTTCTCTTTTGTAAACGATGAGAACAAAATGATCCATCAACTGTCTCTGGGACAATAACTTGATCACACTCATTGTATGGAATAAGGTTGATCACATTGTATGTGTGATGTCAATCATTATAAAATTTGTTTGTTAGACTTGTTGATTTATCAAGTTTTTTTTCTCGTAATCATTATAAAGCTTTTTCTTTAGCCTTGTTATTTTGTCAAGTTTTTTTTCTATTCATTGTGGCAAGTTCTAACCTACAGATGCTTGACGTTCAACAATATTGCCCACTAATGAAGAGCTCCAAGATGGTATGCTTATTCCAGAGAGAGAATCTGATATGATATTAGCATTTCTCTCCGAAGATTGTAGCTGGCATATAGAATACAATGATTTATCTAATGAGATGCTAAGGATGGTATACACTGCATTTACTACATGTGCAACACAGTACGTTATGCGATGTAGTCAATTAGCACCTGGGTGAAATTAGAGCAACTGTAAAGAATTTAAGAAAGTCTGCTTTTAAAGGTGAATTATTAAATAAACTTGAACGAATTATTGATTCCAATATAGAAAACAACCAATCTTCTCTCTCGAGAAATTAATTTAGAAATTACATTTAAGGATAACCTAGAGACTTCAAAGGAAAAAGATGAATGGATCAGAAAGAAGATTGAAAACTGTTTCGTGAAACTCAGCAAAACCACGGAGTAAAAGGATACAATTCTGAGAGATACGGTGCCCTAAACGTCTATCATCAATGCTGAAGAAATTGTTGTTCTTTTCTAGTTTTCATTTCAATTTCAATCTTGAAAGTGGTTGTTCTTTGACAAGTGGGTCACCATCGAATGGGCCCACCTTGACTTTGTAAAAAGAAAAAAAATAATATTTGTTATGGGAAGTTATTGAGATAAAAAAAATAATTGTGTAGCACAATTGTGAGTGGGTGAGTACATAAGAAAGAAAAGAAGTCGTCTCCAAAGAATACGATAGCGGAAAAAAAAACATCTTAAGAAAGTATGAGAAAGAAAAGGAGTTGTCTCGAGAAAAAGACAAAAAATAGAAGAATAAAAAAGTCACGATGGTTGGTTTGCATAGAATGTGTATTGAGATCATGACATTGTGAGCATTATTTTGACATCAATATTTTGCAATAATTTTCTTTCTTGTTGTTATGGCTGAATACCCATTAAATTGTATTTTTATCCAATTTGACGATAAAGTTTGTATTTTGTGTTGATTTCAGGAGGACTTGCAGTGTACCCATTAAATTTATTAGTAGTGAATTTAATGGACTAAGTATGTGGGTTTTTACCTTTTATTCATGTTTTTTCATGTTAATAATCTTGATGTCTCTTATTTATTTTCTATATTTGGTGTTTATTATTACTTGCTTGAAATTGTGTAGAACCTATCTTAATTGCATAGTAAAAAAATGGAGATCTAATTTAATTCGGCGTATTATTGATATATTTGATATTTTTTCTAACATTCTTTTTAATTTTATCATTTCAATTTAACAAATGAATGAACGTTGTTTCACGATTTCAATTTGCTTTGTCTATGATTTTGTTATAACAGGTATTAAAAATTGTAAACAATATATATAAAGATTAATAACACATTTTTTTAAGAGAAGTTATCGGGTCCGTTTACCTTATGTCCTTATTCTCTATATTTATACAAAATAAAAATATGAGAAATTAAGATAACTTTGTTTGTATAGTATTCATAAAATTATAATATGAATGATTTTGAAAAGTATAATAAAATTTGTAAAATAAAGGATGTTAAGCAATGTAACGCTATTTGTTAATGTCAACCTAGTTTTTATTTTATTTTATTTTTTATTAAACTAAGTTTAATGTTATCATCTTCCATTTACTTCGAGTTGAATTATTGAAAGGTATATTATATTTATAGTATTTATTTTTTTATTAACAAATGTTTTAAAAATATTATGATTAAAAAAACTTGTTCAAACTTAAGTATAGAGTTTTTTTTTTAATTATTAAAAAAGTTTATAAGAATGGATATAGAGTATGTGGAGATCCAACATTATTTTTGAAAATTTCTGTTACACTTTGAAAACAAAAGAGATGAAAGTAAAAAAGATAAAATATTTGAGTTGTTTGATTAATATATTTTTTTATTGCAAAACAATCAATATTTTTTAATTAAATAATATAGAGCAACATAAAAACATATATTAATATTTGTAGTATTAGGCTCCATACCACGGTTGAATAAGGAGAATTATTTGAACTCCCATTGCTTGTATGATATTTGACATGACTCTGTAATTTTATACGTAAAATACAATAATTATTATAAAAATAATAACAACATAAAAATTCTTTTATAATTAATAAGTATCTCATATATTATAGTTATTTTAATTTAAGATAATTTTTCGAAAGATATTGACAACTATAATAAACATGTACGTAATCATACATTTGAATAAGCAAGTAAATCTAAGTGCTTGGGATTTAAGAAGAAAAAACTGACAATAAAAGTAAAACTTTTGAAAGGAATTAATTTGACCATGTAAGTAACTAACACTTAGGACAAAAAACTAAATACAATTTTTTTGAAAATAATTATTTTTAAAGTGATAAAATTTGAGGAAAAAATAAAAAAATTTAAAGTAGTCAAAACTAATTTAAATATTTAATATTTATTTAAAATTATAAAAATATTAAATTATTGTAAAATCATGCATTATAAGATAATACAATGAAAAAATGTTTTAACTCTAAAAAATAGAAACTATATTATGCAAGGATGAATGAAAAACATTAACATATGCTCTTTAAAATTACATTGATTATTTCACAAGTATATCTGAATGAATCGAGTTGACTTACTTTAATGAAATTAAAAAAAAAAAGTCATTAAATAAAATTCGAAGCTATACTGTAAATTAAGTAGGATGGGTAATATAGTGTCGTGCTTCTAATTCGTTGCATTTGGGTCTTGAGGCGCGAAAGCCCAATTAGTGCACACGAGCAGTTGCCAAAATCAAAACCCTACCGAAAACTGAAGACGTTAGCGCCTTGTGAAGCAGTTACATTAGATAACAATGGGAGGCAGTGGAAGATCACGCACTCAGAGAAAGCATTTCCGTCAAAGCAGAGAAAACATTTGGAAGCGTTCCAAATCGGAGTCCGATCCTTCTTCACTCTCTGATACCCAAAATCCTACTTGGACTCCATTCGCCACTCAGAACTCCTCTTTCGATTCCTATTACAAAGAGCAACGAATAGTAGAACCGCAACAGTGGGATCAATTCGTTTCAGTTCTCAGAACTCCATTACCCGCAACCTTTCGAATCAACTCTAGGTAAACGTCGTATTCTAATATACACTTTCCCATCGCTGCTAAGTAAATCGACATGTCGTTTGTTTCCTGATTGCAGTAGCCAGTTTTCCGACGACATTCGTTCTCAATTGGAGAATGACTTTGTGCATTCTCTTCGTGACGAGGTATATCAAAACTACTAAAATGGCGGTTGCAGAAGTGCTGATGCCGTTGTTGTTGTTGTTTTTGGTTAATCTTTATTTGTGGTTGTGAATTGTTGTTGTTACTTGTAGGTTGCTGAAGGGGGTGAGACAGAGGCCATTCGGCCATTGCCGTGGTATCCTGGGAATTTTGCTTGGCATTCTAATTTTTCTCGGATGCAGCTTAGGAAGAACCAAACACTTGAGAGGTGAATACACATTCTGATGATCTATGAGTTGCATTTGATTGCTTGGCTTGATAGAGCCATCAAATATGTGTGTACGCGTGTTAGGATTTTAAGTTTGGACGTCACCACATTTATGACACGAATGAATGTTTCCTTTCGTAAATTCATATCACTGAATATTTCATAATTATTTATATGAATGAAATAATTAAGAAATGGTCAGTATATCACTGAATATTCTGTTCCTTCCATATTCCCTTCCTAAATTAATGTTGATATGGACCCAACACACCAAACATTTCAATTGTCTAATAAATAAAAGATACTTAGGTGTTTTTCATGATAGGTGATTTATGGAATATGAGCTCCATCATAGGTATTTTATTTTCTTTTCTGTCTCGTGAACATTTGGTTCTCAGCACTAAGCAATATTTTTAGGGCCTGCTTTATATGCTAATTTTTTTTTCTAAATGATTTGAACCTTTATTTGATTTTATAGTTTTGCTATTCAATGGTTGTGATGGAACAAAGTTGACAAGTTTGATGAAATTTGAAAAGATATAATACTTTGCACATGATCATATTAGATGGACAGAATAGAATCACCAGGTGCAGAGTATGTCTGGTGACCTCAAGATATAGTTCAGAAACTTGAGTATGCTATTTCCTCACTGTAACACTTTTTTTAAAAACAATTTGGGAAATAGGATGACAGGGAGCTAATTACAATTCCTGGCTTTAATTTGTTGAATGATGTACCCTAAATATAAATCTGTTTATGTATTAACTTGTATGAAGATGCATTGCTAGAAACACCATCCTTTTCATTATCTTATTATATGATATTAATTGGTGGTTACATGGTTTGCTGAAGTTTCACATGTTTTTCCCCTTTAGAAAAGTATTTAGGGACAAAGCAATACCCATTTCTAAAATTAAAGAATATTTAACTTACCTACATTTAGTTCTTAGTTGTTGGTCTTATGACTCTCAGAACAGTGACTGGTGCACACTTATTGACATATTTATCAGAATGCATAAACATGCTACTTCCAAACAATGAATTGATTGAAATGGTATGTCAATTGCTGCCACTGATTATGTTTAGTCTTGCAGGTTCCATGAATTCTTAAAACTAGAAAATGAGATTGGAAATATTACAAGACAGGAAGCTGTCAGTATGGTGGGTCACATTACATAGTCCTTTAAACTTCATGATGATACAAAAAAAATATTTTCTTTTCTTTTTGAATGGTCTAGTGCCTGTTGGTTACTACTTGTTCTAACATTTCAATAATTTAACTTGTATCACTCTAATGGTTGTTTGTGACATAGGTTCCTCCCCTCTTCTTGGATGTGCATTCAGATCATTTTGTACTTGATAGTAAGCAACTTCTAATGCATAAAGTACTTTTTGCTGTTTTACTTGCCCTTATTCTATTTGCTTGATTTGGAATTCAAACCTAAGTGTTTGTGACTAATTTTCTTCATCTTGCCTTTTTTAGTGTGTGCTGCACCAGGTTCAAAAACATTCCAATTGCTTGAGATTATACACCAGTCAACCAAAACAGGATCATTACCAAATGGAATGGTTTGTCTCATTTTAATTACAAAAGTGTTGCTCTCTTTTTCTTTTCCCTTTATTCATTGTATTTATCATGTATTGGTGGTTAGAATCATTTGATATTGAATGATTTTTTAAATTTGACCTGTAATGACTGGGTAGGCTACATATGCAACATTTGTTTATTAATCTTTTTTATGATTAGGTTATTGCAAATGATCTGGATGTCCAAAGATGTAATCTTCTTATCCACCAAACAAAAAGAATGTGCACAGCCAACCTAATTGTTACAAATCATGAAGCACAACACTTTCCAGGATGCCGTTTAAACAGAAATTATGAAAGGATGGAGTTAGATCACAATTTTGGCCAACTGTTATTTGACCGTGTTCTGTGTGATGTGCCATGCAGTGGAGATGGTACCCTTCGAAAGGCACCTGATCTCTGGAGGAAATGGTAGTTTTTATTCCTTCCTCTTCCTCCTCTTTCTTTTCTTTTCAACCAACAAATTATTGTTTTGAGACTTATTTTACATTTTTGTAGGAACACAGGGATGGGACATGGTCTTCACAGTCTACAAGTTTTAATTGCTATGCGAGGTTTTTTATTTTTATTTTTTTCCATATCTATTTTAGGGCCTGTTGTTGTAGGTGTTTCTGTTTTGTTACAAGTAGCAGTTATGTTTTTTTTTTTTTTTTCTCTTTCAATTAGAAGATTAATAATAACTGACAATGGTAGGCTCACCGAGTTGGAACTTAATAGACATATACTTTGGGGAATATATAATTTCACTGTCAATTCTTGCTGAGGTTGGTAGTCAGTTCTTGCCTTGGAATGAGGATGGCCTCCCTTTACCCTACAAATTTTGTGGCTATTAAAAAGATCCTTAATAAGATGGCTTAATTCTACATTATGCTTGTTAGGGTTTTGTTAATGAGTAGAATGCATGATGATAGATTGAATTAAATAAGACTTATCTAGCATGGGTAACTAGTATTAGTTACAAAATCATCATGGTGACTTGAGCTACATTTTAAATTGACCATGATATTGAGTGGAACTTTTGTGCTTCCAGATTAAACATGCTTTCACAGTTGCATTATGCTGAGTTGGAAGGATCAGACTAGTAATTTCTTTACATGTCATGTGTCTTCTGAAGATGAAAAGGATTCTTTATTACTCCATGGAATAATTTCATGTTATGTGCTTTAAACTGACTTCCTCTTCTTACCTAGTTCTAAAAATTTTAAAGACAGATTTCTATTGTATAAAACTACTTCCATGTCTTAGTTGAGTAGATATGAACTAGGGTTTGTAATATTTATCTAAGAAGTTTTGGCAATCTCAATGTCTATATTGATTTTTTTCAGGCGTATCTTTACTTAAAATTGGTGGAAGAATGGTTTATTCAACGTGCTCAATGAATCCTATTGAGAATGAAGCTGTGGTTGTTGAGGTAATCTCCATTTTAATTAGAAGCATGGGCACACTGATTTCTTAGGCATACCTGTTTGATGTACGTACTTGTTATAGGCAAGCCTTAGGTACTAGCTTTAGAAAATGTGGGTACAGACTTGCAAAATTTTCCGAAAAAGTAGTAGAATATGACCTAGGCAATTCTGTTTCACCTATTTGTTTCTTTTCATTTCGACTCCAAAAGCATCTGATTCCCCATTTGTTGGTGTAGCTCATGGCAATGAGATGCAGTGCCTGTTTAGCAATATAGAAATTCGTGTTGAAACTTTTGTTGGAAGAAAAATCAAAAGACTGATCAATCTATATTTGCTAGTTACTACTTGTTACTTATCCCCCCAAAAGATATGGAAATGTGGGAAGGAGAGAACAAAATCACCATAGATGGCAAATGGCCATTGCATCTATGCCAGATAGAACAGACTCACCTGCATCAGGGGTTGCAAACAGCCACCATGAGCTATGCCAGTGAAGAAGGAAGATTATGGGGCTGAGTCAAGATACACAGAAATGAAAAGTATGAAAATAGCAATGTCATGGAAAACGCTGTCCTGCTTTAGGCATATTTATACCTAGTCATTTCGAGCCTTATTCATTTCTGAAAATTAAAGAAAAGGTGTATTCCAAGCACTAGGGTGCATTAGATATCTGTGTACCATGATTCAGAGATTCATATTAACATTTCTTGTGGTGATTAGACTTTTGGGTGCATTTGGATAACTTCTTAAAAGCATTTTGCTAAAATAGTTTTTTGTAGCTTTTTTCCAAAGCTACTCTTTCTATTTTCTAGCTTATAGAAACAACTTTTTTAGACATTTGTAAAATTAAAAAGCACTTTCTTTGGACAAAGGGCAACCAAGAATATGAAGAGGAGCTTTGCTAAATTCATATTTCTTTAAACACTGTTTTCACAGGTTTTACGGAGGTGTGGAGGATCTGTTAAACTTGTTGATGTCTCTTGTGAGCTTCCACAACTTATTCATCGGCCAGGTCTCAATAGATGGAAGGTTTGTGTTTGCTGTGATCAACTTACCATTTATATGTAAAATTGAAAAACAGATATGTTCCCTACATCATGTTATTTGCAATGTTGGCCGGGTTTTTTAGTTTCCTATGTTCTTTCTGCTGGATGGTAATCAGTGTTCCAATATACTGTACTTTCCTAACGTTAGCTGTGGGTAAAATTTTTAGTGTAGTGTAGCAGCTGTCTCTTCTAACTCAAGACTGCCAGGTTGAAATGTTTCATTTATTCCTAGCTATATGAATTTTGATAGACTTGGAATGCTGTTTTACTCGTTTTTTGTTTGGAACATGACTGGTAGTGAATTATTTCTAATCAGATTTATGCTATTTGATCAGTTGGATATCAAGTTATAAATACATTCATGTCCATGGTAAAAAAATCAAGGTTTTAACTCCAAACAGAAATTCCTTATGTTTATCCAACTTTAATGTGTATTCTAGTGGAAGCTGTTGGTTCTGCATGTGATTTAGTTTGTAGCTTTGAATGTGGAAGGGGTTGAGTTTGTTTGTGGCAGTATCCTTTTGATATTTTTTAAAAGTGTTCGATTTTGGAGATGCAGGTATATGACAAGGGCACTTGGTTAGTCTCTTACAAAGATGTTCCTAAGTTCCGTAGAAGTGTAATTCTTCCCAGTATGTTTCCTTCTGGTAGAGACCAACAGGATCCTATTGATAGTAGTTGTAATGCTGACATAGGAGATGACATTAGTAGTAGTGTTAATGGAAATGCTGGAGATGGTAGTCAAGCAGTAGAGAATCCTGTGACGACTGAGTCTGCTGAGGAAGTTTCTGATTTCCCTCTAGAGCACTGCATGAGGATTGTGCCCCATGATCAGAACACTGGAGCCTTCTTCATTGCTGTATTGCAAAAAGTTTCTCCTCTGCCAGGTAGTTTCTTGTATTACTTGATTTGTTTTTCTCTCCGATTCTGTTTAAATATAATCAGGGACTTCTGTGAACATGGAAACATAATTCCAAGTTCCCATTTCTGCCTTTGTTATGTTAAATTTTGTCAGACCTTTGCTTGCCATAATAGGTTTGTGATTGTTTTCTCAGGAACTCCAGAAAAAACTAGAAAGGAAATTGATGAGCAATATGTAGAACCAGCAAACCAGAGTCTTCAGGATGCATATGAAGAAGTCTTAAACACAGTTTCAAATGACAATGAACCCAATGCAGAAGATTTGGAAGTTAGCCCGATCACATGTGAAGAACATAATTCAGAGGAAACTCAAGTGCCCCATAATGTACAAAACATTGTAAAGAGGGTTCCGGGCAAGAGAAAGCTACAAATACAAGGCAAATGGAGAGGTGTTGACCCTGTTGTCTTTTTCAAAGATGAAGCAATTATTAATAGTATAAGGGATTTTTATGGAATCGATGAGCGTTTCCCATTTAATGGTCACCTTGTTACAAGAAACAGTGATACTAGTCATGTGAAGAGAATTTACTATATCTCCAAATCAGTCAAGGATGTTCTTGAATTGAACTTTAAAGTCGGGCAGCAACTTAAAATAACCTCAATTGGCCTGAAGATGTTTGTAAGTATATTTTATTCTCAATTAAGAGATATGTGTGTTTGTTAGTATTGTTATTTTGTGTAGTTGGTTTATTTGTCACCCATGCTACTAGTTGTAAAATTATTGTATACAGATGATAGTAATTTCTTCATTAGAAAATGCCTTAGAACATAGGTAGGTAGATAATAATGTAGGCCCACAAGATTGATCTAGGCATGGAAGACAGTTTTAGTTGGAATTGATTAGCAAAAGTGGTGTGTATATTGTTTTCAACGTTTTGATTATGAAGGAGCTAATAATAATATTAGGGTTCATTTGGTGCATAGAATTGAAATTATGGTTGGAAATTGTAATTGTAATTCTATCATAATTGGAATTGGTTCAAAATCATAATTCCTGTATTTGAGTTGTAAAAAGAATTGGAGTGTAGAATTATAATTCAATACTGACTTTTAATTTCATTTTGATTTGATCAAGCTCAATGGTATTGTATAATCCATATAGCTACCTCACCTGGTGTTATAAGGCTTGATTGCTATTATTGTTGTTGATAGCTCTAATTTGGGGTAGTTATGGATAAGATTAAGTTAGGTTTAAGAAAAGTATTAATCCTGAGGAGCTGGTGGCTGCAATGAGATAAGGGGGTGGTAGAGATGTGGTGGCAGCAGCAATAGTTGGTGGAGGCAGTGACATCAACAATAGTGAGGGCGTCAATGGTGATTTTTAGTGGTGGTGAGGATGGAAATGGCTGTGGTGATGGTAGAGATAACTGGGGGTGTAAGGGTTTGGGTGGCAATGGGAGTTTAGTGCCAGAAAGGGGTAGTGTCAGTGGTGGTAGGAATGACAAAAATGGGGAGAGAATTGTTTGGTGTGGGAGTGAGATTTGGATTTGTAATTCAGGGGATACAAGTTAAAACTCGAGAATGTTAGTTTTAGTTATATTAGTATTAGAATTTCATGAAATTGGACCTAGAATTGTGATTTCAATTTTAAAAGGACTTCCAAACGTCGTAATTACAATTCTAAGGTGATTTCAAACCCCAATTTTTGGGCCAAACGGACACCTAGAGAATTGTTCTTATGAATCATTTCATAAATTTTCCGATACTTATTTCTGGTATTTTCTACGCAATTTTTAGGTTGAATTTTATGAATTATTGTCAACTAATTAAATCTTGGCATATTATAATTGGTAAGGATTGTGTATGTAATATAATAAGTAAATAATTCATTCAGAACTTCGTTTACAAACTAAATTTGTTTATGGAGCATAGCTTTCTAGAATATCTCAAGTGACACGCATGCTGTAATTTATTGGCACAATCTACAGTTAAATTAGTAAGTCTGGCAAGTATTACATAAATAAATCATTTCAATGGCATAGCCTTGTAGCAGACTCATCCCTAATTGTAATGGGAAATATTTATCGGTGAGTCCGTGACTGTCAGTGATAAAAGAGCTTTTTGATGAGTTCTTGTGAATAACTTAGTGAAATATACTTTTGCTAATCTTACAGGAAAGGCAAACAGCACGAGAAGGTAGCTCTGCACCATGTGCTTTCCGGATATCATCTGAAGGATTGCCTCTTATTCTCCCATACATTACCAAACAGATTCTGCATGCATCACCGACAGACTTCAAGCATCTTCTGCAGAACAAGGATATAAAGTTTGCAGATTTTGTTGATGGCGAGTTTGGTGAAAAGGCAGCAAACCTAATGCCAGGCTGTTGTGTGGTAATTCTGGGTAAAGGTATGTATGTATCGCCATGCCACAGAAAAAGGTTCATACCCATTGCCATGGACATCTTTTTATGGGGCCTTATTTTTCTGCAGGAAAGAGAGTTGTTACAGAGTCCCTCAAGGTGGATGAGTCAACAATAGCCATTGGATGCTGGAAGGGTAGGGCGAGATTGACAGTGATGGTTACTGCAATGGACTGCCAAGAACTACTTGAAAGGCTTTTAATACGTTTTGACACTGAAAAGTGTTCTCCTGGGCATGTGGACAAATCTTCCAAGGATGTGGTAGGTGAAATACAGCCTGTACAAGAGTTGAACAGTAAAGATGATGATGATGTGAAAGCTCTTGCTAGCTAAAAAGCGACAAATTAAGATACTTATTACTCAATCATTACTAATTTTGTCCTTCACCGGTTCACCCACGAAATGTTAGTGAAAAAATTGCTTGTTTTTGTTAACCTTTTCATTATTTTCGATGCCACAGACGTTGGTCCATTTTTGTATTAATAGCATTCTATAGCTTTGGTTAAATGTTTATGGGGAACTCATACGGTTGGGAGGTTCAAAATGAAAAATAGCTCCGTAATCTATTCAAACCTGCACATATTTTAAATTTGGAAAGTCGTTTCTAGCTCATTAAGGTTAATAGTGACATGAAATTAGTAGATTTTAGCTTAACAGTGATTAAGATTTTAGTAGATACAGTCCTAGCTACCAAGTTGTTTTAGATTTTGTGATGCCTGAAAGGTAGATTGTACTTACAAAAGAAAGTTTCTTGGACAATTCCATAGGTGCATACGCCCAGAAAGATATAGGAATGAAAGAAAGAGAAGTAATTCATGTAATAATTAATATGACGTGATAAGAGAGAGTTTAACTGTTAACATTAAGGTATTTATATATAAAAATTGAATTGAAAATAAAATATGTGCAATGTTTGAGTTGACTTTCCTTTTTGCTTAACTAACGTCGCCTGGTTGTTTCAATATTATGTAATCAATTTGTGTCTAAAGACGAATAATCATGATTTCTATGATACGAAATCTAAAATATATTAAATCATAGTGATAAATTTTCACTTTCACAAAATTAATCTTGTTGATGCAAACAGGCTTGAAATCAAAGTTTGTAGGCACTTTTATATTCAAGCGTATGGCATTGAAACTGATAAAGTAGAATTTCATGTTACCAGCTCTAATATATATTTATTTGAATTTTAAAACTATATAATTTTATTGAGATTATTTCATACTAATTTAACACACTCTAAGATTAAAATTTGTGATTGATATTAATTTAAGCATACATCTTAATTATGTCTACAATTTAAAATTATTTTGACTAAAATTTAAACAAACATTTTACATTTAAAAGTAATTTTTACTTTATACTACCCATACGAAATTAATCCCTTGAAACTTATAAAAATATCATTTCTAAAGACATTAGAGTTTTCTAAGCTCTATTCTTTCCGAATCAATTTATTTTTAAAATTGATGTTATGGAAATCAAAATACAAATTAACTATACCCATTATATACATAAACCTTTATTTTTTCGGTCCATACATATCAATACCTTAAGATTGTTAATATGATACGACCTAAATAAAGTTTGTTAATTTGATGGTTAGAACATTGTTAAGCCTTGACCCAAAAAAGACTCACATTGTTAAGCCAGTCTTGTTTAGCTGTCTCAATCCTCTAACGAGATTCATGCATGAAAACGTTGTTGCTGAATTTATGAAGGACCTCGTCCCCAAGTCCATGATTATAGGGCTTTCAAAATGACCCCATTAGACAAAAATAGCCATCTCAGACTGTGGCACGGGTGACGACGTTTTCACTTGCGATAGATAACGCTCCATGTCCAACCAATTCAACTACAAAATTCATGTATATTGAACCAAGCAGTTGCTCCCAAACCAAAAAAATAAAACAATGGGTATCTACCTTCACCTTTAGTGCTTTACTCACCAACCAAAACAATTAAAATTTAAATATACAAAAAGAAATGTGCCAAACCTTTAAAATTTGGTAGTAGGAACACAACCATGAAATACACTAAACTGAAACAAATTATAAATAAAGTCAGGATCCTTGACAACACATATTGCTCTTAGCAGGGACTTCCTGCGCAGGGCCAGGAACGATAATCTTCTGGCCAGACAAAGATGCCGAGTTCCCATTTCCCTGATTTTCATCAGCAGTTAGATTCTTCTTGTTGACAATGTTGTAGATTTCTGTCAAGACAGTCATGAAGGCTGTTTCAACATTTGTTGCTTCCAGTGCTGAGGTCTCTAAGAAAAATAAGCCTTCTTTCTCGGCAAACTCTTTTGCATCCTCGGTGGGTACATCACGCTGGTTCTCAAGATCACATTTGTTTCCTATGAGAATGATGACTATATTCTTGTCAGCATGGTTACGCAGTTCTTCTAACCAACGGGGTATGTGATCGAAGGTCTGGCGTTTAGTGATGTCATAAACCAACATTGCCCCAACAGCACCCCTGTAATATGCACTTGTAACTGCTCTGTATCTGTACCATAAACCATAAACCATTGAAATATCAGGGAAAACAGTGAATCAACCATTCGAATGCCACCAAGTTATGATAAAAAATAATTGTAGATAATGATGTGAGGAAGCATAACTAGCTATAAATTGCATGCAGGAAAAATTAAGTCTTTTTCACAGATTATTGCAAATAACTGGGTAAAAAAAAAAACGTGTCCAATTTGCTAGTAAGCCCAGTTTAACCAGAATAAAAATAACCAAAAGCGAGAAATAAAGATTTCCAAATGACTTAACGATAAAAAAACTAAATGATGCTCATGCAAAAAGCTACTTGATCAAAATTACCAAGTTCTGAAATACTATCATTAAATCTTTGCGGATTGAAATGATAGAGTGAAAACCTTAATATTTTGCAATACCCACTTCTAGTGTGAATCGTTTGCCTAGATTGTCCATGCTGCCACTTTCATGGCTGTTCTGTCACATAGATAGTTCTATCTGTGTGAGCCGAATTTCTAGGTGCAGAAAGGTTTTAAACTAGGCTTGGAAATCAGTTATTTTAGAAGCTCAATACAATGGAGAATGGTGACATCTAATTTAAATTAGGAAATAGAATAAGATTCTATGTCTTCCTAATCAGTTTATGTAACTCATTTCTCTATACTCTGAAGCATGGCATCATATTACATTAAACAACATGCACTTTTTCATGCACTACCATTAGTTGGAATCCCCTCCCAAAATCAATACCAAAAATTTACACATGCATGCTTTGTTCCAAATTTTGTTTTTATTTTCCCTTTGCATAGCTATTCTTTGTCAGGAAGAACGACAGGCAGAGGTGCATCAGGTTGAAAGTCGTCAACTTCTATGTAATGATTCATCAAACAAATGGCATTACTATCAATTACCGTAAAGTTAATTTATAAATTTATGTTAACATAAACATGACAGCAACGCAAAATTAAATCGAATGAGATTGTGTAGTATATGTTAATATTACTTCTGGATTCTATTTATAGGAAATAAATACTTATAAAGTTAATAATAATATATTTATATTATGTTTTAGAAATATTCATAATATTAAATGTATAATTAAGAACATGTGTTAAAAAGTTAAAACAATAAAATTTTAATTAAAAATAAAAATATTTATTATCTCAAAATTATAAAAACATTATATGCACTTTTTTACAAAAATTTAAAGCATTAGTATATTAAATGTTTTTTAACATGCCCTCTTAAACTCATGTTAAAAAAATTGTTAAACTAATCAATATATCCATATCACTAAAGATGTCGTTAACAAAAATTTTATAATAACTAAAAACATAACAAAAATAATAATTAATACATTTTTCTCAAAGTTAAGAGGAAAAGAAAAACCACAATGCCAAGGTGTTGTTGCTCGATATTTGTTCTAATACAGCATTGTCTTAATACCACCGTTGCAAACTTGAAAAACACTCCTGGAAGAAATAAACGATCCTGCATAACAACAGAGGCAACGCAACGCCGGCAATTACGGTAACCGAGACCACACCACAGCTCAACTTAAAATCATCGGCACAATCACGAATTCTAATTCACAACGTATCCACTAAACAACAAGTGATCACTGAAATAATTGAAATCCTATTAAGATACTCTATGGATTATTAAAGTTGCGAAAAGATTATTCACTTGCTTTCGCGGTAAATTCCAGAGACTCTGCCATGCCTAATAGATTTTCGTGTTTCAGTCACGCATCAATTACCAACACACACCTAACCATACATGATAATATAGTAGATCAGCACAGCAACCTCAGTTAGTACTCAAACCACACGATCCGATTCCGATTATCAGATCACGCGCGAAACGAAGATATAAATAGTAATCATGCAAGCAACGGATTCAAATTGAAGAGATAGTAGCTATAGCGAACCATGAAAATGAAGTTGAGATGGAAAAGAAGGTATAGAGTACCGTTCTTGGCCTGCAGTGTCCCAGATCTGAGCCTTGACGGTCTTGTGATCGATGACCAAAGTGCGTGTCTGAAATTCAACACCGATGGTGGACTTCGAGTCCAAGCTGAACTCGTTCCTCGCAAACCTCGCTAATATCTGTGACTTCCCCACCGCTGAGTCCCCTATCAGCACCACCTTGAATACGTAGTCTATCCTCTGGTTTGCATCTCCATACCCTCCTCCTGCACCTGCCATTTCCACTGTTCGCTCTATTTCTTTTACTCTTCTGTGTTATACATACACACGCCCACACATATATACACCGTTCCTGTTTTGCTGTTTCTTTTGCTTTAAGGTTAAATTAAAACCAATAAATGAGTAAAATATTTAATAATTGGATGCATCTTCTGAAAGGTGAGACTCTTTTTCGATAAATCGGCTTTTTGATCAAAGGAAAAATCGTTTATTTTGAACTTAAATATGTTTTTAAGTTTTTATAAGATTTTAGCTTTGGGTTATTTAAACATTTTCTTAAGGGTTTAGTCCTTATTTTTATTTTAGAATTAGTTTTTTTAGTCTTCAATAACTACTAAATGACGATGAAATTAATTAAAAAAGTATGACATATTGATTATTTATGCAATTATATAAGTGAAAGAGAATAACATATTTAAATTACAAAAACATATAAAATAAACAAATAATTTAAAAATATAAAGTCTAAAAATATATTATATTTATTTAATTTATCTGTGTACTTCAAATTTGTATATCTTTATTTCGATAATTTGTTAGGGGGTTTAATTTAATTTAATAAAAACCAGTGAGCGAGATCAAAATATTTAAATTGCACAAAAAAAGTTATAAAAAATAAAAAAATACAAGGATATAATAAATTATTTATTTTTCCTATTCCAATTTTATATATCTTCATCTCAATGATTTTGTTAGGGGGTTTGATTTAATAATAATGATAATGGTAATGGTATGAGAAGGGGGGGCGACACGTGACACATGCACGAATGAGTTGGGAGTGAACATGTGTATTTGGGCACCAATCAGAAGTGGGGGCTTAGCATATGAGAGTGTTGGGTGTTTGTACCAAGAAAATTATTACGGTGGGAGAGGATTCTGTTATCGCTTGATGAGGAATGAAAGACGAACGAAATGACAGTTGGGGACAGCTTTACTGGGTTTACTTTCCTTCCATTCATCACAGAACCGTATGTCTCATGGGAATGAGTTGTCTGATATGTCTTTTGGACAAATTTATTATAATATTGTAAATTAAAAAATAATTTATTATTTTATAGTAAATCTGAAATAATTTCTTAATTTTAGATTTTTTTTATGTAAATCAATTTTTTGTCATAACGGCTGGCAAAAATAATTAATTTTTAAATTTTTTAATATTTATTTCGCTAAAAAAGTATAAAATATAACTTCTTAGAGCAGTTACTTTAAAACTGCTCTCATAACTCTATTTTAGAGAGCGGTTCATAGACCGCTCTGAAATTTCAATATTAGAGAGCGGTTCCATTTGAACCGCTCTCAAAAGTCATGTTAGTGAGCGGTTCCATATGAACCGCTCTCAGAAGTACATATTAGAGAGCGGTCCTGTCAGAACCGCTCTCTTAGATTTAAAATGGACGGCTGGAGAGATTTTGATACACGTGGCAACATCTGAGATGATTCGCGCTATTACTGACGAAAGTTTATTTCGCCCTGCAGTTAGCGAAACCGCTCAGGCATTGATACGTGGCCAAATGTTCAGTAACTTTGACCGACGTCCTTCTTCCTCTTCCGTGACGGTCCTCCTTCGTTTCCATTTTGCTTTTTTCCGTCTCTGCTTCTCCATCATCGTCCTCCAGGCAGAAGTTTCAAAATTTGTTTTGATTTACTGTGAAGGATCAAATACTGTTACGAATTTAAGAGGTATGGAACTATAATATGCATTTATATATTATTTTTAGTTTGATTTTGTTAATTGAAAAATCTGATAATAATATTGTAATTTTTTTAAACTCTATGTATGCAGGTGATTTGATTGTAATAAATAATTTTTACACCTATAATGAAGTAAAATTTTAAAATTGTAAAATTTTAAATGCAGTAATCATAATTTATATGAAATATATGTATAAAATTTGTATGTAAATAATAAAAAATTTTACTTTTAAAAACGTAATATTATTTATATAATTATAAACTAAATGTAATATATGTAAATTTAAATTAGAAAAATGAAAAAATAAAAATATAATTTAATTTTATGCTAGTAATTAGAGTTTTGTATTTATATAAAATTTATGTAGATTTAAATTAGAAATATAAAAAAATAAAAATGTAATTTAATTTTATGCAGTAAGTAGAGTTTTGTATTTAAATAAAATCTGTATGTAAATAATAATATTTTTTACTTTAAAAAACATAATAGTATTTATATAATTATAAATTAAATGAAATTTATGTAGATTTAAATTGAAAATATGAAAAAATTAAAATGTAATTTAATTTTATGCTAGTAATTAGAGTTTTGTATTTATATAAAATTTGTATGTAAAATTTATGTAGATTTGTATTTAGAATAATTAAAAATTTATATTTCTTTAGTTATAATATGTATAGAATATAGGTTAGTATATTTAAAAAGAATTTATTTATTTATTTTTGTTTATATACCTGATTTTTGCATTTATAATAGATTGTAATGAATATAATATGATGTCATTATAATGTGATAATGATTTGTTAGAAAATTTGTTTAACCTTTATAAAATATGTATTATTAATATGTTAGTAAAATATAAATTATTATTATTATTATTATTATTATTGAATAAAATTTTTTTACTAATATTTTTTATTGTTGTATAGATGGCATCATCTTCACAACAAAGTAGGGTTATTAATCCCGAGCCAGAAGATCCATCACTTCTTCGGTTTCAGAGTATTCATGTTTCTGAGCATATTTGGGATGGACGTGATCACCCGACATTGAGGGTTAGGAAAAGTCCAAATATTCCTGGTGGATTAGAAGGTATTCCAGAATAAATTATTCCACATCTGGAGTTAGCGGATTTTGTTGGAGTGGCTAACTTGTCTAAGCTTCCTGTAGACGTGGGATTGATTATTGCATTAGTAGAGACGTGGAGGCCTGAGACGCACACCTTCCACATGCCCCCTGGAGAGTGTACTATTACCCTTCAGGATGTTGCTATTATCTCAGGATTACGCATAGATGGGAGACCTGTTATAGCACCCATTGGGGGTGATTGGGCTCAGATTGTGGAAGACAGCCTAGGTATGAGACCAGGATCAGAGGCTTTTGTAGGGAGTTTCTTGAAGATGAGCTGGTTGGACGAACACTTCACTCATATTGCCATGCATAATCAGACTCCACTGCAGATCACTCGGTTTGCTAGGGCATATATATTGAGGCTTATTGGAGGGTTCATGCTTCCTGATCACTCTAGCAGTAGGGTATCTGTGAGGTACTTGCCTTTGCTTGAAGATTTTGAGTTGACCGGTCAATATAGTTGGGGTTCTGCAGTTCTAGGTTATTTGTACCAAGAGCTATGCATGGCCACTAACATTGATCGTGTTGCTATTGGAGGACTAACTGCGTTAATTGTGATCTGGGCTTGGGATAGATTTCCCCAGATAGCACCTACCAGTCCTCCCTATAGTCGTCCTTATCTTCCGTACGATGTTAGGTAAGTTGGTATTGTTATTGCTGACACTACGCATTTGTAGGTGTTCTATAATGTTATTTGTTTGGCTTCATGTTTTTATGGTCAATTACTTGCAGATGGTTATCCCACGGTATCAGAAAGGGAAAGAAAGATGTCCACTACTACAGATATATTTTTTATCGTCTAGCACGTGATGAGGTATTATAGCCAACTTTTGCTAAGTTACTTATTTAAATAACATGTTAATTACGTACTTTTTTGTTATTAATCTGTTTTGTATGTCATCATACAGATTGTGTGGGTGCCATACAATATGGAACTCATCAATATATTACCACCTATTTGTAGAGACGGTATGGAACTCATCAATGTTTCATAACTTATTCCTCGTTTTATTTGAATTACTTTTTTTACTTCCTTCAAAACTTACTCCTTCATTTCCTTCATAGATTCTACCATTCCAATATATAATAATAACAATCTCACTCATCCTGCATTTTATTAAAATAAACTTTATTTAACATTTAAACTTTACAATAATTAACATAAATAAAATAAACAATACTCATTAATTAAATATAACTAAAATTATACATTCAAAATTAAATAATAAAATTATTAAATAACACATACCTGAGATTTTCTTCTAATGTGCCCTTCCGGTGAAAATGAGAGGAGGGTTGGGGTATATATATAGTATTCAAATTTTGCAATTGGAGTGTGCAAGTTTCGCAAGATTGTGGGCGATTTGTTGATAATTTCGCCACTAAAATGGCAAATTTACTATTTGTTTTGCCAGTCCGGTGACGAAATTAATTTAAAAATATATTAAAAGAAAATTTTCGCCATCAAATATGCGAAACTGTACTTTACGTGAAACGTGTCAAATTCTTATACATTTCGCAATTCGGTTGGCAAAATTCAATGCAGACTTTCGCCAGTAGCAATAATAGTCTGGAGACACGTGTTAACATATAATTAATTGCGCTTTGACTGTATATACCTCTAAGATAGCGGTTCTGCAGGACCACTCTCTAATATGTACTTCTGAGAGCGGTTTATATGGAACCGTTCACTAACATGACTTTTGAGAGCGGTTCAAATGGAACCGCTCTCTAATATTGAAATTTCAGAGCGTTTCATATGAACCGTTCTCTAAAATAGAGTTATGAGAACGGTTTTAAAGTAACCGCTCTAAGAAGTCATATTTCGTACTTTTTGTAGCGAAATAGATATTAAAAAATTCAAAAATTAATTACTTTCGCCAGTCGTTATGGCGAAAAATTGATCCACGTGGTAAAAAAACTCTAAATTGAGAAATTATTTCAGATTTGCTATAAAATAATAAATTATTTTTTAATTTACAATATTATAATAAATTTGCCGTCCTTTTGACACCGATCCCCATAGATGTATTTCGTGTGATACCCCTCTGAAATAGCATATTTATAAACATAATTATTTGATCTTATTTTTTTTACTTCTTCTTATTATAAATATCGTAACAGTGTTAAATATTATTTAATATTGTTTATTTCTTGTCTTTTTATTGTATTAAATTTTACTTATTGCCTTTATTATGATAACAATTTACCCGGGAAAATTGGGTAAATAGGTTAAAAGTTAATTAAAAGATAAAAATGGTGACCTAAAAATTTTATTTTATTTATTATTTTTAATTTTTTAAACTGTTTGTACAAAAATCATATTTTCAATATAAAAATTTAATTTAACAACTGAATTAACAAAATTAAATTTTTATGAAAAAAATTTCGGTGAAATAATTTAGTAAATTAAGTGAATTTATTAGGGAGCGAATAACAGATATAATTTTTTCACATAAGAATGAAATAAATAAATATTGTATTAAATTTTATTATAAATTATTAAAATTAAAATATGCGAACTTATGTAGAATTTAAAAAAATAAAATATGTAATTATTTTAAGTTGTCGGGTAACTTTGAAACTAATTTAGTATTGACCATTTATATATTGGTTCTATCATTAAAACTATTTAATTTTTTATTTAAAAATAAAAATTTTCAATAGGTATATCTTATACATACATGATTCAAATGCAAGATAAATGGTTACATCCCATGTTTTTTCATTTTCTGAAGTAAAAGAAAGTTCAAACTTAAAATTGTTGGACAAATTGAAGTTTATCAATGAAATTGAGTTAAGCATGAAATAATATGTATGTGTTTAAATTTATTTGATTATCATGTTCAAGTAAACATGTGACTTACGTAATAAAATTAACAATCGTAATTAAAAATTACTTATTTTCACGTTAGTTTAATTAGGATTACAGTGAACTTTTATGTCTTTAAATATATTTTAATATATTGTTTAGTATTAAAAAGAAGAAAAAACAAATGTAAATCGCTTAAAATTGAATTTTTTTTAATGACGCAGGAGAGATTATTAACTAATGATTTGCAGCCTCTAATATTTGTCACAAGCATGACAACTATGGTGAGTCTATTATACATATTATTCGGGACTATTATGTGACTTTTGGTTTGTGGAATTGTTTTTATCACTCAACATAATTGGTGTTAGTTTTTTTAATTATGATATTTTTAATTGACTTTGTTATAACCTATGTGAAAAAAATTATAATGACATTAATAATAAGAATAGTTATTTTACTATAATCCTTTGATTATTATAAAAACACATGAATGAACAAGTTTTTAATTATAGAAATTTTGACAAATAATATTTTGTTTAAACTTTAACATTTAATTTTAATTAGTTGGAATATTCTTCAAATTGACAAATTGACAACTCAACATCAATAGTTCGTTTTACATTGTGAGAAGTTGGCCAGTTGTGAGGTTGAGATCTTAGAAGAGATGATAAAAAAACATTTTTAAGTTACTTTTACTAAAAAGTTTGGTTTTTGTTATCTTTAGTTGCAAAGTGACTCCATTTTAGTCTTTTTATTGTTAAAAAAGTTTTGATTGAATTAAATTTTAAATTAGTTATTAATCTTGTTCATCCAGGTATTTTTGTTATAGGCTTTTTTTTCTTTGATAGAAGAAATTAAATCTCTAATATGTTCCCTTAAAATTATTAATTTATACAATGTATACTATAAAGTTAATAGATTCGCAGATTTTTTAACAAACTTAACTCAGTATTTTTCATGAAGAGATTTATTTAAAATACTCCTCTTCCCTCTCTTAAAGAAGATGACTATGGTGTAAGCTTCTATAGAATTGTTACTTAACATTGTTTTGTTTGTTAGACTTTTAGTTTCATTTAATAAAAAAATGATTTTTTTATTAATTTGATTTAAAGAAAAAAAATACAAATACAAATAAATACACTATCACAATCATGTAAGTAACATTTATGAAGAATTTAATTAACACAATTTTAAAAATTATACGAATTTTTTTAATGTTTTTTTTTTCTAATGTTGATAAGAGATAAAAATTGTAAAAATAAATCTTATCTTACTTAATTTACTTATCCTCTTTCGCTAAAGTTACAAACGAAACCAAAGAAGAAGAAAAATTCCTTTCTACCTGAATATTGTGTTCAAATAGACCAATAATCACAACACATTATTAATTAAGAGAAAAAGAGAGTATTTATTTTCCTTTTTTAAAAACAATTTTATATTTTTAAAAATAAAATTCAATACAAATTTGTATTATATTTTATTTTTCAAAATAGAAAACTATTTTTAAAACACTAATCAAACATATCCTAAGTTTTTTTTTTAAAACCCACGTTAAAGGTGTAATAGAAGTTGTAAAATAAGTGTATTTTGTATAATTTTAAATAATTTTTTTTATTTCTCAACACCAAAAAATAAATACATGTTAACATTATTCTTCTTCGGGTTTTAAGTTGTATATTCAGAAAACATATAAAAGTTTATAAAGATGCCTTTAACCAATCTAGAAAATTATATTTAGTTGATCTTAGGTTTCTTTTCTTAAAATTTTACCTTTTCACCCTATTTTAGAAGAGCATCCATTAATTTAGTCAATTAAACTTTATTTATTAATATTTATCAATTAAGATATTAAGAGGGTTATATTTAATTAACTGTTTATTCAATAATTCTTTTATATAAAAGTTTATTTTATAAATTTATTAAAATAATTAAAAATAACATAAAATTTATATTTTTTGTTTATAATTTTTTAACAAACTTATTCACATACTTCCAAATATGATTTGTTGTATTATTAGGCCCAAAGTAGATAATTATTTATATAAAAAACCAGTATAAAAATATTTTATTATTAATTACAAGAAGCTTATCTATTTTGATTTTAAAGACGAAAAACCTTTTAAAAAAATTTTAAAATATAAAATAATTTTAACTTATAAAAAAATTTAATTTATTTTACTACTTAATATTTTAATTATTTTTACAATACTTATTTATACTGATCTTTATCTTCACCGAATTTTATTTAAATTTGTTTTTCTCACGAAATACAGTCTGGCAGAGGTAAATCTTCAAATAGGCCAAACATATATACATTTTTCCATTACATTTATCTCGCAATATTTTAATATTTCAAGGGGCATATAATATCTGTTATAAAAAATAGATTGAATCCTCTTTTACTATAACCTTGCAGCAATTAGAACATAGTCTTAAAATATATTTTTTTCACTGGGGTTTAAATATAAATTCTTACTATAAAAAGGAGAAGTATTTCCTATTTTGTTTCGTAAGACACAATTTGACGGCCATAAAATTTTAAATAAGCCAAATGTTTGTTTAAATTACATTTCTCATACAGCATTTCAATATTGGAAGAGGTTTATGATCACTGTTTTCAAAAGGAAATTGAATATTCTCTCAGCATCAACGCTACAACACAACCACAACACACAGATTGTAACATAATATTTTTATTTTTATTTTTATTTTTTTGTTTTTTCACTAGGATCGGTAACGCGAGTAAAGCTTAGAAATTTTAGCTGTGAGTCTAACATTTTTTTTCAACTAAACTTAATGTTTTTCTTTCACAATGTACGTTAAATTTTAATATTTATTTTTATTGTGGGTAAAACTTTAATTTTAATAAAAAAAACACAAAAATAAAGATAATAATGTAATTATTTTTTTAAAATTATTTGTAAAATAATGGAATATGGGCCAATCCAAAGTCCATCACATAGCAATAACTCCCGCTGTCCTGTCGTGTAATTTCTAAACCCAAACATGTTAAGATAAAATAAATATATAAATAACAAAGAAACGAAGAACCCTAATAGTTCTTGCAATTGTTTTGGCAGAGTGCGGTTGTCTTGAATCGGAAAATGGAGGAGGAAGAGCATGAGGTGTACGGAGGGGAGATCCCCGACGTCGGAGAGATGGAAGGAGACGTCGACATGTCCGCCGCCGACGATGACGCTGCCGTCAAGGAGCTGGACGAGATGAAGCGCCGTCTAAAGGAGATGGAAGAGGAAGCCGCTGCTCTTCGCGAGATGCAAGCCAAGGTCGAGAAGGAGATTGGCTCCGTTCAAGGTTTTCAATAATCTTTTCTCACAATTCTCTCTAATTATTTCATCGATTTTATTTTATCATCTCTTGATTAATCGCTGTTCAAAAGCTTACGAGTTTGCTTAAATTTTTAATTTCTCATTTCGTGGTTCCTGAAACTTCTTCAAGAGAGCACTCTAATCATCCTCGCTGCCTAACTAATGTTTCTTTGCAGAACGTGAAAATGTTCAGTTATCGAAATGTGAAACTCCTTTGCTTTCTAGTTCGGATATTCATAGCTAAACATCGAATTTTCTTTTGAAGTAATCTTTTGTGATTATTCATAAAACCTGAAACTCGCCAGAGCTTGAATAAAACCTCTTTGAACTCATCTTTTATGATTATTGTTAAAACTTAAAACTCCCCATAGCATGAAAACCTCGTTTCAATCGCTTGTTGACGTTTTTCACCGATATCAACAAATTAAACTTTCACGAGACTTTATGATCAATATAACGTTTCTATTTCTCAACGAACACTTTAAAATAGGGGGTACTTTGAGTTGCTGTGTGCTTTGTGGCTCTCTGTTCACTCTCTTCCCTCTTCGTGGACTATCACTGCTTCTCTTTTGGTCTCCTGTTCCTGTTGGCTGTTGCTGCTACCTGATTTATTTTTGGATACTTGAGTTTTATTTATTGTCTATTTTCCTTTTTTCCTTTTGTGTGTTGCCTGTTTGTTTTCAAAAACTTAAACGAATTATTGGTTGTATTATGTGTAAGACCTGACGAATCTTTAATTTAAGTTGAATTAAATGTTTATCTATCTATGTTTTTTTTATGTATGTATGCGTTTATGATTTGTATTATGATCCTGCACCCTCCTTGCATAATTGCATTCCAAAGTTGAAACTTGATTTTGACAACTCACAACCTTGCAAGTTGTAACTGTGCTTTCTTATTTTGTAACTGAAGTACTTAATTTAAAATATTCTTCATTCGTATATTCTTGGTTTGTGTGTCATTATTATTATTCCTTTTTAAAACTTCTAGATTGAATCTCTTTTGCAGATCCTGCTAATGCGGCTGCTTCTCAGGCAAGCAAGGAGGAGGCAGATTCTCGATCTGTTTTTGTTGGCAATGTATGAACATCCTATTTCTTATCACCATCAGTTTTTTTATTTGAACTGTGTGATGTTTTTATTATGAGAACATCCTATTTCTCAGTCTGATTCTCTTCCCTATCTTCTTTATGCGTAAGTTAGCATCTTGATTCTTACCCTTTTTCAGTTGGATACAAAAATAATTTGTTGTTTTCTAAACAACTTAATGACAAGGCACGATTTGGTAATTATGACCTATATTTATTATCTAGAAATTTTGTATGCCCATGTTGAGAAAACCAAACCGGATTGGTTTGATTGGTTGAACTGAGAACTGATTTACTGTGGTTAACTGGTAGTCTGCAAATTGACTATAAAACTGCTGAACTGGCTATATCCAGTTCAGACTTTTACCTTACCAAAAAATACCAAATTTTCTCTTCCAAGGATTGAACCTAGGACGATAATCTTGGGAATCATGGACAGTTTTGTCAACCACTACTCCAACAATTGTTACAATTAGCCATGATATATATACATATATATTATGAAGTTAATTTAATATTTTCAATGATTTTAAAAAAAAATTCTGTAAATATAACCATCTCAATCTCATCATAAAATTTTAAAAACAAGACATTATAACCTACTACAAATTGCAATTGCTAAACACAGGCATTTTCATCACAATTTGTTAAATTTATGCAAATAGTACAGAATTGGGTATGATATGAGACTGGAGGTAGTGGCAATTCAGAGTCTTACTTCAAATTTGTTCTTCTTTGTCGTCATCTTAACTATCCCACATGGTGCCTACAACTTCCTCACTCAGTAAGTCTTGTATTTATTTCCTCATAAATAGCTCCAATTGTTTGTGATAGCATACTGAAACCTAGCTTCTGGAACCATTGTTTACTAACAATTATGCTCCATTTCCCTATCTTTGGTGGACCTTTATTTTCTTGAATAATTTTTCTATCAAACAAGGTATGTTTCTGAATGAAATCACAAAAAGTATGCGCTGAAAATGGGTCATCTTTGCATAAAACCAGGGTAAACAGAGAAAATTTCTCATGTAAAGCATATGAGCTGCGATGGCTATGATTTTTTGGCCACAGCTGCTAAAAAATGTGGTGCCGAGTATTTTCTTTGATTGAGTGTGTTCCATTGGGTATTTTCTTAGGTGCTTCCCAGTGCATTCTGTTTGTTATTTTTTCTTTGTGTTTTGTAATGCTATATTGGGAATGTAGCAGCAACCTATTGAAGGTTTTTGAAGTTTGGGGATGTTTTGTACGGAATATTTAGCAAATCATCCCTTGATCATAATCTATCCTTTAAATGATTTTTTGTAATTCTTAAATTTGAAACTTCTTGCACTTGTTTAACACCAGGGATAATATATGTGTCCTGATTTAGGGCATCTATTCACTGGATATGTCCATCTACTAATTTGGCCTGGTTTTGAAGCATTCAATAATTCTATTAGCTGTGTCAATAAATTTGATTGAATAGGTCCTGATTTGAATTCTATAGAATAACTTTTTATTTAAGTGATAATTATATAAAACTAAAGAGATTTTAGCCATTTGAATCAAGTTCAAACTTTCTTCTTGCATACGTGCTCCTCTGGATGCACATATTGGAATAAGAGGTAAAAATTGATTGATATCATATTCAACCAAATGGGTGATTTTCTCACCTATTCTTTGCTATGACATATTTGAAACTGCATTTTTTTGTTTTGGAGTGAATCATGTTAATACTCAGAGACAGGGTTTGACTTGTGTCTCACTATGATCGCAGGGTCATTCTTATTACTCAGGTTCTGTAATTAGCGCTGGGATGATTACATTGTATTTTGTGGGTTGGCCAATGTAATTGGTGTTTTTTAGGCTTGTACTAGAGGGGGAAAGCAGGGTATGTTGTGCTTATGAAAATTTAATAAGATATCACTGGAAGGAAAATAATGACAAAAGATTGAGGAGAAAAAACTTGTTAGTTTCTGAAAAGAAAAAGGAAAAGAAATGAAAAACATTATGCAGAAGGAAAAATAGAATCAAGCTGAGAAAAAGGAGAAAGAAATGAGAAAAGAAAAAAGAAAAAATAAAAAATATGTTGAGGAAACTGTGAGTGGCATTTGATGGGGATGGCTGAAACTGGTACAGCTGGAGGTAGAATGTGTTAAAGATGCATCGACTTCACTGCTGGAGGAGACAGCTTGTGGTTCTTTTGGAAGAACATTCTGTAAGTGTTGGGCATGCAATCTGAAGTCATAGAGCCCTTTTGTTTACTCCAATGGGGTCTATGGTGCCTCTGTTTCTTTGTCATTTGGTCAACGTGCCAAAGGGTATGCAGATGCTGCTTCCCAACTGGCCTTTTATCTCATAATTGTTTTCATCTCTGAATTAGACTACCTGATATTGAGGCTTTTCCTTTCTCATTTCAAGTCAGTTCACAAAACATTGAGTTGCAATTGAATGATTATTTGCTTTCTTTTTTCCTTTTACCCCTCTTCTATCACATCTTACAAAATTCCCTTTCTGCAATTTTTACAAAAGAGGGTGTTAGAATTCTTTCCAATATATTAACGCTTTGCTTGCTCCTATTTTTTTTTTATTGGTGATGCATTACTTTCTTGCTCATTCTTGGGATAACTTGTTCACCAGAAAAGGTTGGTGCTGTTTTAAATTGCTATGAGGAGGAGGAAGCTATACAGTGGAATGCGAGAGGTTTATTTATCTGGAGTTAGAGAAGAGCCTGAAAAGGACTATAAACATTAATTAAGATTGTAATAAAATATTTATGGGTTGTATGGCTTTGTTGGGTTTTGTATTTGGGATGTAGGGTATTGGTGGTTTATGGAGTCAGAATTGGTTGTGATGTTTGGAAGTTGGGAAAATAAAAATTTCTTCTGAGGTGGTAGTTAAAAATAATATGCAATAGTGTTTGAGATCTAGGAGGGGGGGCCTTGTATCTTTTGAAAAACATAAAATGATTCAGTTTGATTTTTAGGGTAAGATGGTATTTTTCGGGTATTTTCTAAGGGCTTTCTTAATTTTTAATTTTTATTGGTTCCTCTCTTAGAGACAAAAGTAATAATTTGAAGATAAAATTGAAGGCAATGTTGTTGTGCTCTGGAGTTTCATACAAAATTGTCCTGATTAATTTATGCAATTTTTAGATCATTTCACTAGTAATTTTTAGTTTTAACCTTTTGTATTTTTCATTTTTACCTAAACAATGTTATTGAATACATATGTGATGGCCGATGGTGTGGTGTAATTCTGGGGTCTAGTTTCTTTCTTATGGTAACTGAATCAAGGAAAAGCACGCTCTGGATTAACACGATATGTCAATCGTTATTGGCATCAAAATTCCTTGAAATTGATTTGTGTTTTACAGGTTGATTATGCATGCACTCCAGAAGAAGTGCAGCAACACTTTCAATCATGCGGTACTGTGAACAGGGTCACTATCTTGACTGACAAGTTTGGCCAGCCTAAAGGTTTTGCTTATGTGGAATTTGTTGAAGCTGAAGCTGTTCAAGAGGCTCTCGTGTTGAATGAATCTGAATTGCATGGCCGTCAATTGAAGGTATCGTATTGCAATTAAGTTGTTTGAGCACGGATACTATTGTTTGTTCCGATTGGAATTGTTTCAATCAGCCTAAAGATCATTCTTTAAAATTAGTTTATTTAATGATTTGGATTATAATATGTTTCCAGGTTTTGCCTAAGAGGACCAATGTTCCTGGAATGAAACAGTATCGTCCTAGGCGCTTTAATCCTTACATGGCATATGGCTTCAGGAGGCCATATCCTCCTCCTTACTTTTACTCCCATTATGGATATGGGTACGATGCGTGCCTCATTTACATTTGCAAATGTTATGCCTAGTTGTTTTGATTGATATTTTGAAGTTTCTCTCATTTTTCATTAAACGTCCTGCAGGAAGGTTCCTAGGTTTAGGAGGCCAGGTCGTTACATGCCGTACTACTAGAAGTTCCATGCAGAATGTGTTGAAAAATATAACGATGGGTGCATCCTGGGCAATAATATTTTTGACTTGGGCATTGACACTCTTCATCCTTATTCTGTACTGTCATTTGGGAATATTTAGTCCATTTATCTTTAGGCTGCTTTTGATCTTGTTAGTTCTTGGAAGATGGTTTACAATTGCCATCGAATATTATGTTAAGTGAATACTGACTGTACCGCTGCAAGGTCAGCCTTTTTAGTTTATACTGACCAATGGCTACAGGCTGGGGTAAAAGTCATCGGGCCTCTTTCCCTGTGCGGTGGCACCAAAACTTGATAAAATCTCATTTGTTTAAATTTACATCACCCTATTGGAATTTAAATATGAACGACGTTTTACTGTAGTATTTTGGTTAGAGATCTGACCGTAGATCACTTATAAAAACTATTTAATAAATGATAGTTCGGAAATTTAATATTAACTTTAATTATATATCATTTCAATAATGTTTTCGTTCTTAAAAAAATTCTAACTTTTTAGTTGGTCTCTTTTTATTTCTATTTTCCAATTTAGTTTCTTATAAATTGTTTTTTGTTTTTATTTGATTCTTTTGCTAGTGATTTATCAGGTTATTTTGTTATTTATTTACGAAATAGTTTAATTGACTTATAATTTAACTAATATATGGCATAAATGAGATACGTCATTAGCATTATATTTTTTATATTTTTAAATTAGGTCATAATGTTAATTTTTAAAATTAAAATTTGGCAATATAAAGGAAGTGGAGGAGTGAATGTCGTAATGTTATTTACATTAATTTTGTTATATTATATAAATTAAGTAAAATGTAATATATACATATAATAAAAATAAAAAATCACTGACGGATTAATAAAAAAAATTAAAACATTATTTAAAAATGTAAAAATGAAAGACCATAAAAAATTATAAATATTAAGGAATAAAAACTTTTAAGTTGTTAAATATAACAGCAGTCTCTTCCAAAATAATACACTCGCGCTCAGTTCAGCTATCGGTATTTGGAGCGCTGCATATGCTTGAGAGTTGAGTCCTCGAAGCTATCGTCACAAAGCTCAGAAACCTACCATGATATCGACATTCCAAGTCCAATCAATGCTTCTTCTTCAACGCCATACACAGTAACACTTCCAAATTCTAACAAACAATGTTACTCACTTTTTTCCACCAACCGTTTCCACATTCACCTTCCTTTACCCATTCACTCTGCACCACTAATAGAAACTGCATCCTCTCCCTCTCCTTCATCGCCTTGCGTCCCCTCCACCTCAACACCCCAATCCTCAACCTCAAACCATTCACCCCTAACAGGTTCACTTCATTCACCACCTACGCTGATCCTTTTCACATCCGATCCCAACATGTCGCTGGCGATTCCAATTTCGACTCTCTTCTTTCGCTTCTTGAATTGTTATGCCTGCTTTCCACTGCCGTGGTGTCCGCCACAGTCGCCGTGATCGCGGCTTCCAAGAAGGAGCCGCTGGCGACAATTGGTAACCGAGCGTCTCCGTGGGCCGTCACGTTGTTGGTTGTTGGGGTTTTAATCGGCGCATGGATTCGGAGGCGGCAATGGCGGCGCGTGTGTATGAAGACTGTGAAGGATGGGTTGGAGGTGAATTTGCTAGAGAGGATTGAGAAATTGGAAGAGGATTTGAGGAGTTCTGCGACGGTTGTTAGGGTTTTGTCGAGGCAGCTCGAGAAGTTGGGGATTAGGTTTAGGGTTACACGGAAGGCTTTGAAGGATCCCATAACTGAGGTAACTACTTTCTTTTGCGAAACTAGTCATGTGATTCTGATTCTGAATGTGTTCATACGTGGAATGTGGTTGTTGAGTGAAAATTTGACTTCGCCATGAAATTAAGAGTTCAAAGTGGACAATATATAGAATAAGCTCGTAATGGACTATTGGAAACTTTGGATGATAAAAGTTTGAAACTATGACAAATCTGCTTTTGAAAGTATAGGGTAATGTGGTGTCAGTTTGTTTGATGATACTAATAAGTAGCGTGTTTAGGGTTTTAGTGTAATATGGTGTGAATTTGTTGGATGATACTAATAATTAGATCAAGGAGTTGAGTGGCAAGACTTCTGAGATAGAAAGTTTAATTACATAATAGCTTTAATATATTAACTCTAATAAGTTGCTTACAAACTCTAAGATTACGGTTCATATTCATACTTGGATGATACTAGATTTGCATCCCTAGTCCTCAAGTTCATTAGAAAAATAGTAATCATTCCAAGAGTGTATGCGTGGAATCATCATCAGATTCAGTTCCATAGCTGTAGTCAAGGCCCAACTTACCCAAAAACTTAAGCTGTTAGGTAGAGGCCCTAGAATGATTTTTATATCTAAAATGCTTACAGAAAAGCCCTTTGAGCTTGAAGTATGTCCAAGGCACATACTTTGGTACCATGTTATATATGCTAATTACTTGGTTAAATATGATACCATGTAAAACACGACTCCCAAAATCTTGAGTTGTTAGGTGGAAGTCTATGAATGGGTTTATATATCCAAGTCCAACAGCTGTCATAACTTTCATCTCCTTCTTCGTTAGAATTTGGTCCTTCTTCAACATCATTTTCTGTGTCATGAATCCAGATCAAGCTCCATCTCCTTGCTTCTCCCTTTTAGCCATGGGTTGGATTTCAGGTATTTTTACTTGCTTTTTTTAACACCAGCGGCCCTTGCTATTTGCTATTACCCACATATCAGTTAATTCATCCCCAAAGAAAACTTCCACTCTGTTGTGTTATATTGGATGCGCTGTGCTTCAAAGATATTGGCATTTATTTTGCCTCATGGTGTGCTCCATTAGGTAAAAATATAACCAAACAGGCTCTCATCTTCTACATGTTCTTCAACACATGGTTCCGTACCTAACCCTGGTGGTTCTCCACTATCTATTTTCTCAAATTTGGTTTGTTTACAAACCTAAATTGCTAATAGTCAGATGTCTCGTAAAACTAATTATTCTGTACATTTTGATTGGACCCGTTAGTATCACAGTTAGCAAGTTTGTTGACTTGTCTTCTTGTTTTCTTACAACTATGAACACTTAACAAATTAAATTGACTGCTGATAAAATTCCATAAGGCACTATAGTTGATTAAATGCCTTGCTGAAGATGAAGGGTACTGCAGTTGTACCTCAAACTGCCAAGAGGCACTGAACCAGTGCCTCACCTAATTATCTCAGGTGTGGCTTTTCGTTCCTTTGACTACGGCGATTTACTTCCACAAAATTTGCTGACCAAATTTATGAGCAGTGAGAATCAGTTCACTGCCAAGTGGTCTGCTTTTCAGTAGGAACATCAGGGTGGTTGACTTTGGTATTCAAAAGTATTCTTGATCACTAAACTAGAGCTGAATGGCAAAAGCTCAAGACTGATAATTACAGTCGAAGGGAGGCTCAGTTGTAACATTTGAAGAGCCAGAGACCACAGAATTGAAAGTACCAGTTTTGCTGATTGAGGAAGATGTTGCCGGAGTTGTCATGGAAATCATATTGAAGAGATATCTAATTGCTGTCAACCAGAAGCAGAAACACTGCAATCCTACACAGGAACATTGACAAACAGCACCAGCCAGATCCAAACAATGAAACTGGGAACCAAATAGGGGCATATCCCAACAGAGGTTGGTGCACAGCAAACCTATTAGGAATAAATTCGACAAGGCCAATCTGAGCCAAACAGCAAGGGAGGAAGGGAAGACAAGGACAGTAAAGCCAAACCAGGGAATGCTGTGGTGAAGAAATGTTGCTCTATCAGTGATAGGCCTAGAAATTTTGGGTAGTGGGGACAAGGCAATATCCCACTTTATACAAGTAAAAATAGTGATAAAAATTAACATGATAGGGGCAAAGTTAACAACAATGAACGTGAGGATAAAATTAAATGACAACCTAACACTACAGTAGTATTAATGAGTGGGGGCTTATGCCCCCTCATTACTGAACTGACTGTACATGGGTTCATCTACTTGACATTTATAGCGCACCAGAAAATTTATTGTAAACTATTTTATATTATCTTTATTGCTATTTAAATTGTTTTTACTATTTTTCATTATTCCCTTCTGTGGACATATCACCATTTTTTTAAAAAGAAATTCATCCTCATTTTATATAATTTTCAATACAACACACATACCCATACTTGTGTCAGCCTCACAGGTATTGATCATACATGAACCTGTGGTTTGGACTGAAATGTAATAAATTTTTGTAACTGCATAAGAAGCAGGTCATATCATATTAATTCTGTTGGTAGTTGATAGACCTTGGAAAGTTTATGTAAGACGGGATAAGAAGTGATGGGCGTGAATTATTGGTGTTTGTGCAGTATTTGTGTCTTTAGGTAGTTATTTAGGCAGTTTTTGGATCTGAGTTATTACTTTTTCTGTGGTGTTTGTGTCTTTATGCAGTTATGGATTTGTGTGGCAGTTATAGTAATATATATTTTGTGTGACAGACGTTATTGTGAGTTGTTTGTGATGTTTTGAAGGAGTAAACTTTGTTACCGGGAAACCCTGTTTCACTATTTTACTGTTCTTTAGATGTGGTCTATAAACCAGATTATTCTAGTAAAATGTAACCATTTATGTTCAATTCTTGATTTTAACACTAGTAAAAGCAAATTTGCAAATGCTTTTTTGTTGGGAGAAAAAAAGTGCACACTAATTGATTGTTTATTAGTCCTCAGTAACATTTTGAATGACTGGTTAAAGTTTAATTTATTGGATCAATATAAAGAATTAACAAAAAATTGACTGAAAACGGTCTAATTATTTGTTCATTTCTCAAAGACTGCAGCTTTGGCACAGAAGAATTCTGAGGCGGCTAGAGCATTAGCAGTACAATCAGACATTTTGGAGAAGGAGCTTGGTGAAATTCAACAAGTTTTACTAGCAATGCAGGTAACCATCCCTCTAATGTTATTTTAACTTTGCACGACAGTGTGTGCACAATTTACAAATTAAACGATGCATGTTTATTAGTGGCCTTTGAAGGTAGGTAGAATTATTTTCAGTTCGTAATTGTATATAATTATGTAATTTATTATTTATGTTCACATCTTTAGTTCTTATGTGTGCTTTAGGAGGGGTTTTACTTTGATTCATTTACAATGTTACTTTATGTGTATGTAAGGATTTGTCAATATACATTCACATTTTTTAGAAGTAGTATGCTAGTTATACCTTTTGGTGTATTTTAACAAAACTAAAGCTATAATTTATGAACATATTCCTTCTAAAAAATAAATGGATAATGTTACTAACCATGGATGTTAACATATACTCATTTGTACTTTAGTAGTGATGTTATCAAGCTACCCCTACTGGTGTAATGTAAGAAAATCAAAGCTATACATTGCTAACATATTCCTTGTAATAAATAAGTGGGTTTTTGTGAGTCAATCTCATTACAATGATGTAACCTATTTTTATATTCTGTTAAATGTACAAAGCTAAACATCAACCATGGATCCAGTTTGACCATATATGCCTTAGTTAAAATTTTCTTGACCACTCTACTTTCTAAATTATCATCATTTTTTTTTATCCGAGTTTGACTTATCTTGATTGGGTCTGAGCATTTGTGTAGGAACAACAGCGGAAACAACTTGATTTGATTCTTGCAATTGGGAAGGCTGGTAAGCTATGGGAAAGCAAGCAGGAAACTGGTGAAGCACACGATATATTAGAAATATCTAACTCAGCTGAGGATGAGATAAAACAGGAGGTTCACCAAATATGAATGTTGGGTTTATACTAGGAGGAAAATCCCAAAATTAGGAAAATCCCAAAATTTCAGAGTGGAAAATCTTGGTGCAACATTCCTTGCTTTTTGCTGTGTAGATCATCTATCGTCACACTATCAAATTACCAGAAGTTTATCAGCACATAAATAATGATTACTCGTTTTTTCCACAGTATCTCAAGTTTGCTGTGGATAATAGGTGAGGAGATTACTGAAGTCCAGACAAACTAAGATGGGAGAATTTAGTGAACTAAATCTGGTTCTTTGTGCTTGTGCATTTTCTTTGAATTCAAGTTTATAAGGTACTCTTCATCAATTTGCTTTCTACATGCTCTGTGATGGCTATTAAGGGCTCAGCATTACATTTTGTCTCTACCCTGCATGTTTCTGTATCATATTCAATGGATCTTCAATATACATCGATGAATAGTGAAAATATTTGTTGATTAGAGCGATATAGCTCTGACAAACGTCGAGTTTGGACCATACATTCGAGGCTTCAGCACCTCTATACATTGAACTCTACTGTTGACGATGGAAAAAAACTTAAAAACCAATAATCTGCTTGCTTAAGATTTCTAGGCAAAGAACCTGAAACAACAGCTCTTCCTGGGTCTTTTCAAACTCACATTAATAGTAAATCACATTAACTTTTCCCAGAACATGCTTGTATTGGATTTTTCTTTTCTCTTAATTTAAAATATATACTTTTCTTTCTTGAAAAGTGCATATATGTTAGTCCATTTTAATATAATAAACTTTTAGAAAAACATTCTATTTTCAACATAGCTAACAGTTTTTTTTAAACTTTAAATGTTAACTGTTAATTTTATAACCTTGAGGGTAAAAAAAAAAATTTAGCCAAAATTTTAAAGCTGAAAATAAGATGTTTAAAATTAATTGTTGGTTGCACTATTTGTTGTAAAAATAAATAAATATTATCAAGAGGTACGTTTATAATTATTTATCTCTGTTAAGGTATTCATTTATAACACATTCACTTTTTAAAGGAGGAAATTGTATATTTTAAAATAAAAGAGAAGAATGTAATTTAACCATTTTAAGAGGAAAAATAATAAGTTATTCAATAGAAAATATGTATTACAAAAATTAAGTGAAAATTGGATAAATTGGATCCATTTTACCTATAATATTATTATCAAACCCTTTTTCCAGCTGCCGTTAAAAGGCCTCTCAGTATCTTCCCCCAAAGAATAAAATATAATTAGTACAAATGCTCTAACCGATATTTTGTTTGGGCGAGACGGGAAAATGCGGATATCAACGTATGCTCTTGTTTAATTAAAGGAAAAAATTATTTTTTTTCTTTTCTCTCATTTTCTCTATTTTAAATTCTTTTCTTCTTTCACTTTATTTCTTCTGAAACAATCAGACGATAAAGTTCTAGGCAGCTCAGTTGACAGAGAGAATATTTTAGGTTTTGAAGTCATTCACGGGGACATGGTGTAGCACAAACCCATCCGTGCTTCTCTGTCAATGTATCACACCAATGATTTAGTTTTTGGTTAAATTTCCATTTAGGTTTTGTAATTTTTACTCTCTAAATGAATTGTTTTAGTTTAAAATTTTGTAAACTAATCTTTAGACTTTTAATCTTTTAAAAAATATTTTCTCCCGTCTAGTATTGAAATTTCGTTAATTATTATTAAATTATAAAACCTTACTTTAAAATATTAATACATTATAAAACTCGTAAAAGCAATGGTTATTGACTTTTGAAGTTTACATACAATAATGATTCGTTTTTAAATTTTAAAGATTTAATTTAAGAACTTGGTGAGCCTGTACCTGTAAGAACGTTGACAGCAATTGAACCTGTGATTTTCATTGAAAAAGTAAATTGAAGAGGTTAGAATTCAGAACAAAACACTAAACAGGCTTGGCTCACCCATCGCGTGTACATTGCAGTTATTCAATTTTCTCTGTGTTGTGTTCACAATTGTCGAAACTATCAACGCCAATAAATCCGGGATTGCATGTGAATGTGAACACACAGTACTCTTTTCAGAAAAATAATAAAATGTATATTCAGGAACCGAGTATTTGGAAGGTACGTAACAAAATAGATATATAATCGAAGTGAGGCAGCGTGACTGTCCTTTTACTAGTTAATGGTAAATAATTGAATCCACCCAAAATAAAAATATAGCAAAGAAAAAATTACTTTACTTGATTTTGATGATGATCAGCACATCATTTGTGACTGCAAGTGCCAAGAAAAAAGAGTAAGGCTGTACAAAAGGGAAATATTTTCATCTTTGCATATACATCTTTTTACTCCTCTGAGTGGCAAAAAAGATGTGCAAGTCTGGTCACTCACACAATCACAATCCCTCTCACCCTCTCACTGCAATGTCAATACTCTAATGGCAGCTTTGACTAATTGAAAGATGTGGAATCACAGCAAGGAATCCCGAAACCTCGAAAAGGAAACTGATGCAAGAATAGTTTCACATGCCCTTTAAGCTTATATGGTGTGAAATCCTTACTTGATGTGTGCTAGATCAATTTTAGAAATGAACAATGCTAATAGACTAAAAGGATGATGTTACATCCTAAACATTTAAAGCAAGCAAAAAGAGATTGTGGATTTAATAATACAGAGATAGCATGAGTAGGTACATGTGAATATAAAGTGTTATTTATATAATATTATTTTTCTTTATTAGATTTTAAAGCTTATTTTATGTGATGATTATTGATTAAGAATACAATGAGTGTGCAAGATATATAAATTGCATACAAGTACATAATTATCGTGAGTCTTCTGCCCTTCTTAAACACACACACATACTGTCGTCCTCAAGAAAAGAAAAGCTTATGACAAACCGAAAGATTTGCACTATAACACAATATTATGGATCTCATATGGGACCACTTCCGTAGGAGTTATATTTATGAGAGAGAAAAATAAGTAATAATAAATATATGTCAGCACGTACTTAATCATTCAATTTCTTCGTCTTTTGTACTAACTTGAGGGGCCATTAATAATTCATGCTGCATGCAAAATCCAAAATCCTCACTTTTAGCCAAAAAGATGATTCATTCCCACCACATTTTTGAGTCACCAAACACAAGCCACACAAAGTATTTTCAGTAGCAGCCATATAATCAATCAGGGGCAAACTTCTCATTTAAAAATGTAGACAATCAAGGTCAATCAGAGTCAAACCCATATATCTCTAGCCTGAGAACTGAGACAAAAATTAGTTAGCATAATAAATGCCAATTTGAACTACCACCTCCTGTCTTTGATATTTTTCAACACACACAAAGGACAAAAGCAATTTGTTTTCCACCTAGTTTCTATTAAGCAGGCTCAAAGGCTCAAGCCTCAAGCCTCAAACTACTAATGGAACGCTGGCCAAGGGGGGTCCTTGATACTGATGTGGATTCTCCCAATTTGCTTAACCCTCTTGACTCGTTCCTTTCACTTTTTCTGCTGCAGTCTGCACTCTGCACTCTGCACTCTCTTTCTCTCTCCCCTTGCAGGCTGCCACACATCTTCCAATTTATGTACCTCCCTTCTCCTCTTTCTTCAGGCTATACGCCATGAGAAGAAAAACACTCAACACAAGAAATTAAGTAAAAAATCTCCTTTTGATCTTTTCTTTCTGCTCAGTGTTGTCTCTCTCTCTCTCTCTCTCTCTTAGTTGGGTTGGGTTCTTCACAAGTCACTACACAAGTTGATATATTTTTCAGAAGACTGGCTTTTGGATCTTAGTTAACTTACATTAAATTTTGCCACCTAGTCTTCTCTTTTAGATGGGTAATGACTTCAAGGGTTGACATGATATGCATTCATGGCTTCACTTAATTCATATAAGTACACCACAACCACCACCTTGCTTATCATTGTTCTCTTGCTTCATCTTCTCTTTCCAGTTTCTAGCTCAAATAATCAGCCACAACCATCAATATTTCCCCGGGTAAGCTATGACTTGTTTGCTTTTATTTCACCTTTTTGAGAACATGGGTGTGTGCAGGAGCTAATAATAAGGAACCAAAATGGGTGTGTTTATGTGCAGGAACTGTTATTTGAGGAGAAAAACAGGCTCGGTTCAATTCCTCCTAGTTGCCACAACAAGTGCAACGATTGTCATCCATGCATGGCTGTACAGGTGCCAAGCTTGCCTAGCCATGACTCGGTTCTACCAGATCTTACCAAAACTGCTGCCGTGGCAACTTTTCTTAACCCATCTACCCAAGGTAACAGGTACTCCAATTACAAACCTTTGGGGTGGAAATGCCACTGTGGTGACCACTTCTTCAACCCTTAGAAATTGTATACACCCCTCATGCTGGAGATTATCCTCACCTTGATTTGTAAAATGGAAATTACCAATCTTTTTTTTTTATTTTGTTTCGTTGGTTTAATTATTATTATTATTTGTGTTCTAGGAGGTCCATGGTTATTGCTTAGGTAGCTAGGGCCACAGATATGCGTCACTTGCGTCAGCATTGATTGTATACATTGGAGTTTGATACACTTGTACAGAGTTTGTTACAGACCTGAATTCCGACTTTAAGTTGCGTCTAAATTTTGAGAAATTTTCCATTTGCTGCTTTTCTGTCATTTTATTATAATCTCCTTCCTCTTCACACCCATCTTTTGATTGCTAATTTTGGTGCCCAACCACAACAGACCCCTACAGGGGTTGTTTCTTGTTTATTATTAATGACTTTTCCAAGTTTTCTACCCATAAACAATTCTTGCTGTCATTTTTTTTTGTTTCTTGTCACGTTATATTATATATTATATTTCTACATTCAAGAGGTGTTTATAAAACGTTGTTTGTTAAACAACATTTTATTTTTACAACAATTAGAGACATAAAAGGAAAAAGAAAAGTATAGAATAAAATATATGATGCGACGACAAAAAGGCTAAAAAAGTTGTCAAAATAGCGATACACTTTTTTCTGTAATTTTTGTAATCTATCGTGCTGTGAATGTCTCAGAGACATTTTTCGCTTATCTTCTTGGAGTTTACATAGCCTGTGCGCACATATTCACACCGTCGTTTTCCTCTGACTCAATGGTACCAAATGAATGGTAAATTTTTCGTGAGCCGCTGTTCATAAATTCGTTTATAAGTTTTACCCATTCTTAAATGTTATTAGTGCAAAATATTTCTCTTATTGTGAGTATTATGTTAATTATAATTTATTAAAGTGTCATACTCATACTTACTATTTTTTAATGTTATTGTTTAATTAATATACATTTAGTTGGATGGAAAGAAATTTGTACAGTATGTCCTACTCTTATCTTAGATTTATTAATGTAATTAAAGTGAAAAAAAAATATTAGGAAAAAGAGTAAGTAGTCTCCTTAAATTTTATCTTCATTGTAAATACTCATTTGAAACTTAAATTTTTTAATTAATCTATAATTCTTTTATTTTTGGAATTAAACATCATAAACTTTAATTTTGCTACAATTAATTCATTAAATTTACCAATTTTAAATAAAGACATTTTGGTTCAATTAATATTTGAATTTAAACTCTTATGCATATAGTTGTTTTTGTAGATTAAGTTAAAACAAAATTAGTAATAATTTTTTAACGATTTATTTATTTTAAATATTGGTTTTCTTTTGTTATACTTCATTTATCTAAATACTATGGTAATTTTTTTGAATTGAAAAAAAATGAGAGTATACAGTGATGATGATATAATAGTAATAATTTTGAGGAAAAAGACTCAACAAACCTATGAAAACCAAATAAGAGTAATAAAAATAAATTTTAACTAAAACTATCCTATAATACCCACTACAATTTGGTTTTCAGAGGCAAATTTTTATTAGCTTTGTAAGTCAACACATATGTAATAAAAATGTTTTATTATTAAATATTTTTGGTTAAAAATGTATTATTAAATTAAAAATATTTACGTAATATTATTTAAATTGAAAGCAAGTTTTGTTAATCATTGCATTAAAGAAATTAAAAATTGAAAATTATAAGACCATGTTCGTGATATTGTTTATACTTAAAAATATTAATTAATATTTATAAATCAAAGTGAAAATAACAAATATTAATATAGATTTTGCCCATGCAGAGAAAGCTTTTTGTCTCACGTGACTTTTTTAAGCTCCCAACTAATCAATGTGCATTTCGGTTTTTGGGTTTCAACTCACAAACCTTCATTTTACATGAGTTAGAACAGGGCACTACCTTCGATATTTTATTTATGGCGCTTGGTTCAGCTTAAAAGTAAAACATGACAGATTTGAAAAAACAAAAAATGCAAAGACCCAAAAAAATGAGAAAAAAAAAGTATCTATAGTAACCTAACTCAAAATAGATTAAAGCAGTGTTTGACCAAGCATATTTTATGTTTCCATTTTTCTAATATATGTAATATTGCATAAGATAAAAAATTATAAATAGTACAAATTTTTAAAAAAATTATAGCATTTAATAGTATTTATATATTTAATTGCATTGAATTATGTATTTTTTTAATAAAAGTTTAATATATCAACTTATTATCCTATACAAAATTGCACAAGTTAGAAAACTTGTTTTTGTTCTTAAAAATGAAATTCAGTTGAACAATAACATATAGCCGTTGCTAAGAGATTATTATGTCAAAACACGTGGAAAATGTTATTAAAGTGAATTTAACACAGGTTATAACTAGTAACATTAAATTAAATGTAAGTCTACCAGATTTAAACGTGCAAAGTGGAAACGATCCAGTTTTTCATCGTAGGCGAAAATTTAGTCGTGAATGAGGTACTTAATGACTTTGTGTATGCTTTTTTTTGTTTATTGAAAAATTAAAATTGTACAATGAAACAAGCTCCATCAAAGAGGGTACAAGAACTATAGGCAAGAATTAGGTGCTCTCTTGTCGGTATTAGTTTGAATCGCCGCATGCACAATCAAGTTAATGCATTCTTTGGAGTCTGTTTCGATAACTCGAGTTATGTTTGTTTCTTTAATTTCTGAATACCCCAATTAAGACTCATTTTTGCATTACCAACACCAATATTGTGCAAGGGAGAAAAAAATTGGTTTCCATATGTTATCAAGTTTCATTAATGTTTTCCCTAACTTTCTATTTGTCGAACAATCTATGCCAATTTTCTAGTAAGGTTCTTTGGAGTATATTTTCTAGTAAGGGTCCATTTATTAGTAAATTTCGATTCAAGATGGATTTTTCTGGAAAACTTGGAAGATTGAAAACACTAGACCTGGCAAATATAATTTTACTGACTCTATAATAATTCAGAGGCAAGTTTCTGGTCTTTTGGAGGAGTGGCATTGTTATTCCTCTCTGTCACGTAGCTAGCAAGCATTTACCAGTCTCAATGACTCAATATGTTGTGATGCAGTCCTTTTCCATTCACCCATTTGTCAAAATGACTAATGTTTTACAACAACAAACTTGACCCGAGCAGCTATCATGCAAGCATGTTAATTGTGGTTCAAGGAATCCATTAAATAAGGTTTGAACAAGATTAGTAAGAGTCGATCCCTAAATAGATAATGCCCTTATGATTAGAGAAACAAGTCAGTCTATCTGACAGTGTTAAACTGCTCATGTAGTCCCATATCCCCCCCCCCCCCAAGAGAAACAACAAACATGAAGACTTTATAAAAGAACAAACCTATACTGTTTAAAGCATACGTCTTTCTGCCTCTTGACTAAGATCGATTATCTATTTTTATTAGTTACTTTGAGGGGAGAGTCCAACACTTCTCTCAAGTAATGTAATGGTATTGAGCTCAAACAAATCAGCCTGTTAGTTTTTTACTTTCGTCCCGACAATTCTTACTAGGTGTAGAAAATATCGTACTGCATCTTGCTTAGCCTGACCATGCTTCAACACAGAGCATGCCCACTGAATTTGCACTCTCCACAGTCATAAATTGACTGGATTGAGTGAATTCAGGCAACTTTTTGTTATATATTTTTCGTGGATTAAAATGACACCTTAGCTTGGGGAGACAGTTACCCTTGAAATGATAGCAAGAAAGTACTAACAATATTGACGAACTTTATGGGGGAAAAAAACGGCTGCATCATCACTATGTCGTACCAGGGTTTTGTTTGAATCAAATGTAAGATTTTATTTTATCATGAATTGCAGAAGACAGCCAGTGATAAGATAATGGTTAGAAGAACATAAGTACTCGAATTGGTCTTTGTTTTTGCAATGCCAATTAGAGGAAAAATCGTTATCCCTTCCATGCAAGGTTCCTAACAATTTCTCAATTTCCTCTTTACGTTGAAATTAATGGAGAGTCTAATGTCACTTTTATATATTTATTCTTACTTTTATTTAAGAAATTTTTATGTAAGATACTCCTATTATTTATATAAATATAAGGAAGAAAAAATTGCATTTTCAACAAAAATAATAATAAACACTTAAAAAGGACAATAGATAATCTTTAAAATTAAAATTCACGCCAATTTAAATATTTTTTATAAATAATTATAAAAAAATAAATAGAGAGTATAAACTCAATAAAACTTTTAATATCCATTAAAATCAATTTATACACCTCAATTTATTCTTGCCTTAGAAATTTTTAATAACATCGTTTCTATTAGCTAAGAACTAATCCAAAGCACACTTTTAAACAATTTTCAAATGTTAACAAGAAATATAATTTCAAAGTCAAAAGTAACTGTGTTTAAAAATAATACAGTTTAAAGAATTATTATTTCATATCATAAATTATATAATATGATTGATAAAGGTGTTGAAAAAAGAGTTATTTTAATTAAAAGACTGAACTCTCATTTTAATATATGAAATAGTAAAAAATAGTAAGTGTTAAATATTTTAGTCCCTATATTTTTTTAAAATATTATGTTAATTTTTAACTTTCATCTCTATTAAGCATTTAAGTCTTTAAGTCTAGATACATTTAACAACATTAACAGAATATTGATATATACGTTAGATTATATGTGTAATTAATTACGTGACAAAAATAATGTCACGTGTAGTATGATATATATTTTTATTTCATTTTAGTTTCTAAAATTATTATTTATAGGACATTTTAATTTAACATATTAAATTAGAAACTAAAATAAACAAATGTATAATATGTAGAAGAAAAGACAGAAATGCAATAATATGTTTAAAAAAATTTCTTTCTTTTTCAACATTGTTTTTAAAACTTATATTTGAAAAATAAAAAAAAGTATAATATGTTTGATGATCTTTAAAATAAGAATTTGTGCAGAAAATGTCTTTGGCTTGTTGTCATTCTTGAAGATGAATGATGACCTGCATATTTATATTAAGATAAAATTCTGACAATATTACCAAGCACAACACACCTGAATTGAACATGTTATTGATTTTCTTAATATTAATTTAATTTTAAAAGTATAAATATATACGAATAAAGAAAAATTCAAAAAAGTTAAGAATACAAAAGGTTAAGGAGTATAATGAGAAAAATACATACAAAGTTAATAAAATTAAACAAATTAATAAGTAATAAATAAGACAAATTTTGTCGTAATTTTTCAATTAAAGAGAATAAAAATTGTCTTATGTCTCACTTGCATGCTATAATGGAGGGAGTGAGATTTTTCTGTAATTTGATACACGGAAGTGAGTGTCATGCATGATTTACTTCTATGATTGGAAGGAGAGGAAAATGAAAAAGAAAGTTGACGAGGAATTGGGCAAAAATCTTGAAAATGATCTATGAGAAATAAATTAATTGTGATATAGTGATAATTTTGTTTTAATGTAAGAGCTAGTGATGGAGAGTTTGAATAATGTGCAAGTTGTGTTAAAGTTGGAAGTAGGAGCGCTCTCATGCACCAAAAGAAATAAAGGGACTATTTATATGAGCTTTTAATCAGGATTCTATATTAAATTATTAGTTTGGTCAAATGATGAGTATGATAAATATATGTCATTATTCTGTCAATACTATAGCTTGAAAATTCTATTCCATTTGTTTCGAATATAGATGAAAGAACTGCTAGCCATAGCCTAATTAAGCAATGACAGTTGTGAACAATGAGCGCTTAGTTTTGATGTTTAAGCATCATGCTACCAGAAATTTCCAACCATACAGTAGCTTAATTACCATAAAGGATAGAGTTGAATTCACTGTGTCATAACTACCATCTTGTCGATTTTAGAAATTTATCTCTCTTCTCAACTGAAGAATGGCTGGTGTTTCTCTTAATGGTTTTTCTCCACCCCACAATTTGGTTTACCAACTTACTGTTCACTCATACACTGAAACATCAATTATACTAACAAACAGCAATAGAATGAGATTCTGTGTACCCACACCATCATTGCATGAATTGGTTAGGAGAATATTGACAAGAGACACATGGATATCCACAGGGGCTCATATTTTCCTATGCTTTTAATATGCTAAGCTCCAAAATTCTCCAATAGTAACCCAATCAACCAGAAAATGATATAAACACTAACAAGCAAAGGTCACATTTTGGTCTCCATAACAAGCATCTGTTTGCATGTTATCATGATTACGAGGACAAGCATCTTAGTCCAACAAATATCACTTAAAACTCATTTCCTGACACAGCTATGCATAATGAAGTTTAGTTTGTTCCATGATCATGAAGATCTTGTCGAACTGTTTGAGTCAATCACCTTCTTACCAAAAGATGGCAAGCAAAAAGCACAAGTGTGGTTTAATTATCCCCTGTTCAATTTATAACCAAAACTCGAACTTAGCTTCAATTAATTTGGCCCTTCTGATTGGTGTAACGTGAGACAAATAGACGCAATCCAAGTTATAACATTTGGTTTCAATTTATCATCGAGTTCCATACTCGCTGAGATGCTAGCAAAAAATATTTTATTAAAATTAAGAAAATATATTTCTAAGTTTCTTTTTATAATTTTATGTATAAACTTGACATATATATTCTAGTTTTGCTTTCGTATGTATATTATTTCAGTTTAACTCTGATTTTTAACTTGAGTTTAAAATTTTAGAGTCATAGTCAATATTTCATAAAAGTAAACAGGATTGGTCCTTAAATAAAAAGTTGAACAAACCATCAACTAAGGCCTAGATATTGAATAAGTTAAATTTTTTTGCTAGTGTATAATTTGATTAAAAATATTTATTTATTTATTACCGTCATTTTTTACTAAAAAGAATTGAAGTAAATATTATTTTATAAAATAATTAACTTTTTGAATTTTAGTAATCAAAATATTTACCGGGTATAATTTTGTGGAGTAATTTAAAAATTTACTAAAAAGTAGGATTGGAGATGGGTGAAGAATTTACGAGGGAAAAAAGAGAATGGCAATGCACAGCCACACAAAATGGAGAAAGTGATGACTAAAGAAAGAGTAATCGAAATGTTGAATGGTTAACGGTGAAGGAAATGGCTTCTACTCTCACACTCACTCTGAGCCTCTCCTCCACCATCACCACCTCCTATTCCTATCTCCCAAACACCAAACAGGGGTTTCGATATCCCAGAATTAAGTTATTATCATCCAAGCACCGTCATTTCTCTGTCTCAGCTTGTGCTTCTTCTTCATCATCATCTTCGCTTCAAGCTCTGATATTTGACTGCGATGGCGTGATCCTAGAGTCAGAGCACTTGCATCGCCAAGCCTACAACGATGCCTTTGTTCACTTCAACGTTCGTTGCCCCTCTTCTTCTGCACACCCTCTCAACTGGGACGTCCAATTCTACGATGAACTCCAGAACCTCATTGGTGGAGGCAAACCCAAAATGCGATGGTTCTCTCTTTCTCTTTCCCTTTCTCTTTCAAGTTTTTATTTTTATTTTTTATATTTTGTTCTTGTTGGAGTTTACTTGTTAATAATTCAATATCGTGTTTTTTTTTTTTTTTCCGTTTTGGGGATTTTAAGGTACTTTAAGGAACATGGGTGGCCTTCATCCACGTTGTTTGAGACGCCTCCAAGTAATGACGAGGATCGAGCCAAGTTGATTGACACTCTTCAGGTCTTCATATTACTTTTTCACGTCATTTTTCTCACTTTGAATATGCTGTCATTGCATTTCCCGTATCTTGGACTTGCAGGATTGGAAGACTGAGAGATACAAAGATATAATCAAGTCTGGAACTGTTAGTACACTTCTATGTGTCTGTTTCCTATCCTAGTATTCTACATTCCTAAACTATGAAGGTGCTGTCTGTTTTGTTCATACTACTGCTTAATACTTGTATGTTTTGGCACAGGTAAAACCCAGACCTGGTGTTTTGAGGTTGATGGATGAGGCAAAAGATGCTGTAAGATATAACATTACATGTGTTTGGCACTTAGTGATTTCTTGTTTCAGTTTCATAATCTAAAGTGTTACTTGCTTCTGATTGATGGAATATCTTCAATCTAAGTTGCTTTGTTTATTGTTGTATTGTAAGTTTGTAACTGATCACGCTGTTGGTTAGCGATATCAACTTCTAAGTTTGTCTTTTTTTGCCCAATTGTTGTTGCAGGGGAAAAAACTAGCTGTTTGCTCTGCAGCGACTAAAAGTTCAGTTATTCTGTGTCTCGAAAACCTGATCGGAATTGTAAGTCCATCTTCTTATATATTCTCACCATTGGAAGTAGAAATTTATTTATTAATTTGCATTGGAATAACTTATTTTCTCTGTTGTAGGAGCGCTTCCAAAGCCTCGATTGCTTCCTTGCTGGTATATTTCCTTTCATTGATCATATAACATTTGAGAATTATGTTTTCTGCTTAAAAATTGTGAACCAAAACTTATACCATGCTGCCGTGCCCACTGAGGCATGGAACTCAAAATTAATAATTTGCATTTAAGTTTACTTTTTCATCATATAAGAAAATTGAATAACTTAGTCATACGTCAGACCAAGCTTTCCTATCACGTTAGACCTAATATACACATGCAAAAAGGGTTTCCTTGCTGATAAAATGCAAAATGCTTGAATTTTTTTTTATCTGGCAATACTTTGGGTACTTAAGTTTAAATATTTCTGTCCATATATTTAAACTTCAGGTGATGATGTGAAGGAAAAGAAGCCTGACCCATCAATATATCTGACAGCTTCCAAGGTTTTAATATGACAATTCAATCAAGAACTTGGAAGCATGAAATTCTAAAATTTCTTTTATGCACCAACAGACTGAGCATAATATAGACGTGCCTTGCAGATTTTGGGTGTATCAGAGAGAGACTGCTTGGTTGTTGAGGATAGTGTTATTGGGTTACAGGTAGATCTTCTCGTCGTGCTATTAGTTTTCTATATGGTTGAGATTTAACCAATCTCATTATATGCTGTGTGGAAAGAAAAGAAAACTAACTATATGAGCTTGGGTTAGAAAGTTTAAGGGCATTTGATATAGCAATATTAATAGTTTGGCTTAAGCGTATGGAATTTCAATTACAGGATCTTCATTTTGTTCCTTATTTCACTAAATTCCATTTAATCATGGTATTTAACTAACAAAAATGATCAGACTATTATCTTAACTAAATTAACCACTACAGGCAGCAACAAAAGCAGGGATGCCATGCGTGGTTACCTACACATCTTCTACAGCGGAACAGGTGAGTCAGTTAAGCTTGGAATAAATTTAAGAAGAAAATGCTAACTGATTAATATTGAACTTGGAGGGGAATTACTATCAATTGAAAGTGGCTGCATGATGATGTAGCTGGATTATATTTTGGATATAATGTAGGATTTCAAAGAAGCCATAGCAATCTACCCTGACTTGAGTAACGTAAGGTATAATGCTTTGGTCACAGCTGAAGGCATTAGGTTTTGTTCATTTCACTTTAGATTCAGCTACTAAAATTGTGTAAACCATCATGCAGATTGAAAGATTTGGAATTACTACTACAAAATGTAGTAGCTGCTAAATAGAAGATTTGCCTGTGTCTTGGAAATTTTGCAGATTCAGTTGCCCTCCAATGTTTTCTATCAGGAAAATGGGTTGAATATTTTATGTTTACCACAATGTTCAGATCTTTTTTTATTACATCAATTGACAGCCGATGTATACGTGTAAGCTATAATGTGAAAACAATTCATTGCAAAATGTAAGATCATAAGTTGTTGGTATTTTGTAATGGCAAATTGGAATGCTAGTCAGAGATTTCCATTGACAGTTCATTATGATGTTAAATGCAACCACGTCGCGAATTTGGTAAGGATCAGTTTGATTACAATTAATTTTGATAAAATTTATTTTAAACTATTAAATATGATTAAGAAATATGTATAATTTAGTTTAAATTACATATTTTTATCGGAATGTATGATTTATTTTGAAAAATGTGAAAATTGGTTTTTTAACTGTAAAATAAACAAGCCATAATAGCAAGTTTCCTTTTCACGTTGAGGATTTTTTTTTTATTATTATTTTGGCTTTGCAATAACACACTTCGAGAAGTGCAAAAATGGAGTTGACAGATTCAAACAATCAAGCTCTAAATATATTATTGTATAAGTTATAAGTTTCTCAAAAAGTTTCAGAGGGAAACAAAGTTGATAAAATCATTTCTCATCCAAATTTTCTAAATTTACCACATATTCCACGATTTAAAATGTAGAGATGAAAGTTTTCTTACAAACCATACTATAGCAAGAAAAGCTGAAAATGAGAGAAATTTCAAATCTGCAAATAACTGTGGGAGGCTTAGTTAAAAATTATTATTTCCTTAACAACATTGGAATTCTACTAAATTGTTAAATTATTATTTTTATTTTAAAAATAAAAGTATACATAGGGTAAGAAACTAAATAGCCAAGAATAAATCAAAGAATATGCATACATAAAAAAAGAAACATGCAACCATACTTTTAGTCTGACATACCAGAATAAAACAGTTGTACTTTGAAGGACTTTACTTTGCACACAAAGTTATTAGCTATTTGATTAGTCGCAATGGTACAACGTGGGGTGGTGGCGCAGTTGGCTAGCGCGTAGGTCTCATAGCTTCCGAGTAATCCTGAGGTCGAGAGTTCGAGCCTCTCTCACCGCAATTTTTTTTTCCCTGTGTTGGAATTTTTTTGTCGTCTCATTGGTGTTCATGTGGTTCGGCCTGGTTATCTTTGGCTCAAATGAAATTTTTGCTTTCATCTTGGCTAAAAGATATTGTCAATTTAGACTAATTTTTACAATTTAATTGAATCAATGGAATGGGTCAATTTAATTGAGACAAATATATTTTTACTCGATATATTTTATCAAGTCATCTATATGTTCACATTAATTCATAGACATCATTTTTTAACATAAGAAATTTAAGATAAGAATTTGAGTAGAGAAGGTAAGACTAATATAAACGAAAGCGTGGTCTTGTAGGAGGAATGTAACTTTAGGAAAGTTGGGATCTAGATGTCTCTTAAAATATCTGTTGCCACTGAATTAGTTTTTAAACTATTTAGTTGTAAATTAATTCTAATGTTTTTCATAATAAATTTGTTGTCTATAGTTATTTATTATTAGCCTTTTTTTTCCCTTTTTCTGTCACGTCATTTATCACATTTTTTATGTCTTATTTTTTTCATCTCTCTCCTTGCAGTCAATTAAGAAATTAAGAAATTATTAAAATTTATGATAAACAATTAAGGTACATTAGTCAAACATTTTTATAAGAAAATTTTTACTTTTGATTTTGCAAGTATTCATTAATTGTAACTCCTCAAGTTCCAAACTGTGCATATCTGGTAATAAGGAATAAATCTTTTTATATATGTAAGTATATAATAACTATTCCTTTTTTTCTTAGAGCGTCAAATTTTTGGAAATAAAGATAACATCAAATTCAATATCACCCCACCCTAAAATAAATTACAAGTGTAAGTTCCAACGAAGAAAAGGATCACTAATTTCTTCTGCTCTTCATCTGTGCCCGTTTCCAAGGACAAACAAATAAAACCACCGGCACTAACACAGTTTCATTCGAGAGTTCAATAGCTGCTATTTTGTCCTCCGAAAATGTGTAATCAAGAATGATCATTCGCGAAAGGAGAATGCTTGCAGGAGTAGAAATACGTAGATAGATACACTGTTCCACAAAATATTATCTCCTACCAGTGGCAGTCTTGCCTTTGCTTAAATCAGCAAGTTCCTCAATGAGTTTTCTCTCATCACTGCTTAGTCTTTTAGGGATTTCAACTTGCACACGAACCAATTGATCACCCCTCATATTATTTTTATTCAGCAAGGGTACACCTTTCTTAGCCATAACCAGTGTTGTGTTCGGTTGAGTTCCAGCAGGAATTTTTAAATCCACCATTCCGTCCACAGTAGGGACCTTAATTGTAGTCCCCAGGATAGCATCAATATAAGAAACCTTACAGGTGTATAAGATGTTGGTGTCATCTCGTTTAAGGACAGGATCTGGGATAACCTCAATAACAACAAAGAGGTCACCAGGGGAACCCCCTTTCCTACCAGCATTCCCCTCATTTCGGACCCTTAATCGACTACCAGAGTCCACACCGGCTGGGACCTTCAGACTTATCCGCTTTGTTTTCCTCACCCGACCATCCCCGGAACATGTATTGCAAGGTGTTGAAACCTCTCCAGTCCCACTGCATGAAGAGCATGTCATTGACTGCTGGAAAATGCCCAATGGAGTTCTTGTTGATGAGACAACCCGGCCTTGACCTCCACAAGTGCTACATCTGGATGGTGTAGTCCCTGGTTTAGCACCTGAACCATTGCAAGTTCCACAACTCTCTAATCGGCTTATCTCTATCTCTTTTTCTACACCAAAAACTGCTTCTTTGAAGTTCAGAACAAGACTGTAATACTCATCTTCACCATCAATTGCTCCATTCCAAGAACCTCTGGGACCCGCGCCACGATTCATGCCCTCAAACAGTGATTCAAACAGATCAAAAGGATTGCTGAAATCCTGACATAACAGAGATAAACCATTCATTGAGAAACAAGAATATGTTGCGGAAAAATAAAATTATACATTCATCATCAGAGGTAACTTACCCCCATGCCCATTCCAGAACCTTTAAGCCCAGCCTCTCCAAATCTGTCATATATGGATCGTTTCTCATCATCTGATAACACCTGCAAAAGCATTTTATATACAGAAGAAAATATATTAGTTGACTCACTCGACATGCATAAAGCCAGCTGAGTTTAATAATCTGTAGTTTTACCTCATATGCATTGCTGATTTCCTTAAATTTCTGTTCAGCTCCAGGTTCTCTGCAAGGCAAGAAAATAGTTCAACAATAAGCAACATTTATAAAACGATTCAGATGACGCCAGAAAATTATACAACTAGCAAAATTGGCATTCATTCAAAGTTCAAATGGAAACAAATGAATCAGAAAAAAGACAAAGTACAATATGTGAAATTGGGAAATAAAAACTAACTTGTTCACATCTGGATGATAATTCCGAGCAAGCTTCCGATAAGCTGATATGTCAAAAATAGAGTAAACAATAAGCACAACAAAGCAAATAATATGCAGATTCTGATTAATAACAATTTCTCAATCACAATTTTTCAAACAAGGCATCAGATGGAAAGGAGAAGCTTAACCTCATTCTCCTATTTATACTAATACTCTAAGTCAATACAATAGTACAAGCCTATCGCAATAGCACCCCTAATAAGAATCCTAATTTTCCAACGTTACCCCTCAAGCTGAAGCATAAAAAACTCTCAACTACTTACACAAAGACAGCCATACAAAGGGCAAACACACTTAACACAGCAAAACAGAGCAGAATCAAGGAAAGAGTCAATATGACTGAGATGAAGGCTAAGCAGTTGAAAAGTGGTAAGTACGGTGGCTGGGACATGGCAGAGTATGTCTGTCACTAACAGTGGCAAACAGGAAGAACAGCCACAAAAGACACCACAGAGAGTAGAGGAGCCATGGACAAAGGCCAGAAAGATGGACAAACAATTGAAGGGGGTAAAAGTGGTGCTACAAAGTGGGAGGAGGAGAAAGAAGGGCAAAGGAATGAATACAAATATTCAGTAACTGGTGAATGTAAAACAAAGGGGGAACGTAGGAGTTCCAAACTTTGTAAACACTATAGCAGATGAAACCATGAATACAGAAGATGATGGATGCAGAAATTAAAAGTAGGTGAACAAGAGCAAAGAGAATATATTTTATTAATAGGATAATGATGTCTGTTCCATTGATAATCACTGAACTTTACTCCAATTTATACTAATATTTTAGATCAAGTACTACATGTGCAGTCCTAATCATTGATGTTTCCTGTCCATTAATTTCATATGTCCTATGCCAAACTATTCTACATTTCACAGATTACATGAAATCATATTTAGTCTCAATATATAGTTGATATGCATCACTATATACAAAAGCCTCACCATAAAATACCAAAGAGCAATTGAAGGAGTCAAAACTCAAAAGTGCATCAAATTTAAATTTTTACATTTTGGTTTGGAAAGCTTACCTTTTAATTAATTTGCATGAATAGGAATAAACAACCATTAAAAAGAAAAGAAGAGCTCTAATATCTAATGAAAAAACATAATAAGCTCTTCTCTTATCATATAAATCACTAACACTCATCTGATTGACACCATTACTCTAGTCCCCATTTTAGGTTTTGGCTTTTTAACAATTTTATGTTATAAATTTTCTTTTAGAACAAAAATTAGAAATAGTACCACAGGTACTATTGATGCTTTTCTACAATCAGAATTAGAGGTTCACTTCGATAATTTGCATAATAAAAATCAGAATTAAAATCAGGTTATTATCAAACCAATACACTACATTTTAACGCATCAAAGTATTATAATAATAGAGGCACAATCATGTAACGGAACAGGGAACAAATAAAATACCACTCTTAATTTCAGGTTTACTAGCATTTCTTGAAACCCCAAGGACAGAATAATAATCCTGCACATTGACAAATAAAGAATCTTCAGTGTAATAGGTTGAATAGTTGACAAAGGCTTTACACAATTTAAATAAGAGGAATAGTTTCACAAAGTACAATCATATATTACTCGTTGTTGCCAAAAAGTTATTTTAAACTTACTGCATCTGCTCTAACAATCAACCTCGATCCCTTGTGACGATTAAATGTTTGGGATGAGCCCACATTAAGAAGCATATGCAAGGAATTCTGAGAAAAAAAACTTGAACTTGTTGCAGCAAAAAAGCTTAACCTAACACTGCAAGGAAAGCTATTGAAAGAAATTACACTCTTCAGCACAATGATCTAAGCTGAAAATTTTGAGATATATGCTGAGAAGGATACTAAGGAAGATTAATATTCAATAAATCATTCCCTAGTTTCTTAGAAATTCCGATCATATCTCCAAGCAATAAAACTACTGCATTGACAATTAAGTTAACAAAACAACAAATTACATTACACCTAACTTATGATTATATCCCTGTATATCTTGGTGATGTGATAGAGAAAACAATGGCAAGTAATATATTTCTTTCCAATGGTGTAACACCAACATGAATCATGAAAAGGACTTCTGGAACTGCAAACCAGACCCACTTTTGCATGCAATGCATGCCTCAATTGATCCCCTTTACTACTTCCATTCTATAAAAACAAATATTTAATCATAAAACTTACTTGTTGCTGGATGATGCAACCTTGCCTGTCAAACTGGATCTTAGCAATAGCTGAGGACGAATTCCCCATTGTGCAGCCGATGTACTGCCAAAAGGTGTTATTGCCATCCAATATAAGCTAATTGATATGGCTTTTGTTGATGAATTTATGCTCGCTGAAAAAAAAATACTGAAATTTAATTCACTAGCATAGCAGGAGACAATTTAAACAGAAGCAAACGAGTGATAAGAGAAAATAGATTGAGTATGCAACTAGAGGAAAAAGATAGCTCAGCTGTTCAAGTCGCCGCATATGACACAATGAGCACAATGTAAGACTTGCTTTATTGAAACAGACAATCAAAGCTGGAAAGAAAAAACTATTTAAACACGATTCAAGCTTGCTTGATTGAACAATTAGAGTGCCCTGACCATAAGAGTACATTGGGGACTACACCTTTGAGGATTGATTAGATTTGTAAATGAAATTTTTGGCTTGGAAGGTTATGAAATAGTAATAAACATTTCAAAATTATTTTGATTTTAGCTGTGCACATGTAGCATTCCACTCAAATCGATTTGACTTGATGTTTGGATATTAACTCTAACTGTTTGAATTGATGATTTTACTTTCATAGTTTAACTAATGGTAATGAAGTGAAGTTATTAAATAAAACGAACTATAGATATTGATTTGGAAACCAATTCAAGTCCTACTTCTAATAACGATTCCAAACATGGAAATCGATTTCTAAACCAAACGAAACCTATTTCTTAACGGTTCCAAACACAATGGAAATGCGTCCAGAATCGCTGACCTCTAAAAATTGAATGTAACCTCTAAAATATACCAAAAAAAAGAAAAAAAGACAAGTTTCACGAGTGCCAAGAAGGGACAATAAAAAAAATAGCAGAACAGCAAACAAAACAAAATACTAAGGAATTAACAAGTGAAGCAACGAATGAAATACAAGCTATTCGAGGTTCATTCATACATCAGAAGAAACCAAAGAAACAAGGAGAAACACATACTATAACAAGTAATTTGATTTCAAATTGTAATTTGTATCAAACTAAGGAGCAGAAACGATAACAGTCCAATCTTATCTAAGCAACAAATTGAGATAAAGAATCAGAATAAGTGAAAGTGACGAACAGTTTTGGTTGGTTTGGAGGAGGGAAAAAATGGAATAGAAATAGAGAAAGCTGAAACCTGGTTGTGGTTCCCTTTTTAACCTTTGCTCTCTCTCAGTGAAATACAACAGAGGGAGTCGAAGAAGGATGAGGCTATTGCGTAGTTCGTTGTAAATTGGCAATTGCAATTGGTTCTGGACACACCCTAATGTTGCTTTCTCCTCGCCGTTTGATTTTTTGTGGTTTTATTCAAACCACAATAATAATAATAAATTGCACGCACCAGTCTCTCCCCTAACTCATTTCCTTCCCATATTTAAGATTGCATTTTAATCCAATCTTGAAGCTGCCAAGCTAGTAAAATTATTCATTTCAATTACATTTGCAAGTTTTTCAAAACTTTATCTTAACTTTATAATTATAATTAATGGCGTCAAAACCCAATTCAAGCTTATTAAAAAAAATAGTGTGCAACGAATTTTATGAGGTGTGATAAAAAAGGTAAAACTTCAACCACATTCTCTTAACATGAATTTGATTCTTAAAGAAAAAGAATAACAATATACTTTAAATAAATTGTTTATCAATTTATTTTTATACTATAAATTTCAGTACTCCATTTTAACAAAAAAGAAAAATAAATTATTCTTTTTACGTATCACGTGACTTCTCTATCATATATTACTATTTATATTCTTTATTTTACTCAAATAATACGCAATATATTAAATTAAAAGACATGAAAGATTATTTATGTTGATTTGAATAATTTTTTTTATAAGTTTTTATTAATTTCAAAATATGTATAAATTAATTTTCACTTGTATTTAATAAATTCAAAATTAATAATAAAAACATTTTTTGTAATTTTATTTTATTTTTTTAATAATTTATTATTGTATTATTTAATAATAATATTTTGTATTTTTTATATATGTTTTAAACCTTATTTAAAATTAAAAGTAGTCATAGAGTTGGCAAGGTATTGACTATAGTGAATATATTTGTTTTATGTAAATTAATGCATTTCACTATGACAATAACCGACCTTAGCTCAGTTGGTAGAGCGGAGGACTGTAGTTGGGTTTCCAGGCTGGTATCCTTAGGTCGCTGGTTCGAATCCGGCAGGTGGGAATCCTTTTTGATACAAGACAACAAGACAATAATTTTTACTTTTTTTATGAGAAAAAATAAAAAAAGTTAAAAAAAATTGTGTAATATATTATCCGTGAAAAAATCATTAATTTTAATCAATAATATTATATTTTATAGTTTTTAATAGAAATAATTATATATAAATTCTTATAAAGGTTGAAGGTTAAAAAATAAAATAAAATAATAGAGTAATTTTAAATGAGGTTTTGACATCTTGATAAATCAAAGGAACACCGAATTATTTGGTCAATAAATTCTTAAAATTAAAAATGGATTTTTAAATTTAGCTGTCATAACATTGCATGAAAGTTGAAAAGATTGGGGGGAAAAAGTCTCTGAGTTGGTCATTTATAATTTTTCATGATTATTATTAAGAAAATTATTTACATCAAATTAAAATAAAGTATAACATTTATTTATTATAAGGAAAAGTATAGTGTTTAAAATTTTAAAGAAGAGACAATTAGTTATATTTATAACTTCTTTTTTATATTCTTATACACATCAAAATATTTCCAATAATCAAAAGGCACAATTTTTTATTGTTCACGTTAATGTTATTTTAAAAAACTGGTTGATGCGAGTGTATGTGAAGCTGATCGATTACAAGCTAGCTGAGGCATCCATTTTATTCTTTGATCCACCAACCTTATTCCTGAAAGATAGAGTGATTTCTGTCAAAGCATGGCACCACCACCACCCCCTCCTCCTTCTCTTCCCACTCTCACCATCTTCACCCTTCTTTTCTTCATCTTCATCTTCCCATCTACACCAACCTCACCCATAGCATGCCATGACACATGTGGTTCAATACAAGTCAAATACCCTTTTGGCACAGGACCTGGCTGTGGTTCCCCTCTCTTCAGCCCATACATAACATGCACATCCAACCAACTCATCCTCAAAACCCACACAGGTTCATACCCCATCACCTCCATATCATACACCACTTCCACTCTCACACTAACCCCACCCAACATGTCCACATGCACCAACATGCAAACCTCACCCAACTTCGGCTTAGACTGGACCTCTCCTTTCCAAATCGGTTCCTCAACCTTCATTCTCTTCTCTTGCCAACCCTCCTCCATTCTAACCTCCCCCATCTGTGACCCCTCCTTTGACTACCTCTGTGCCTCCATTTACACGTGTCCTTCTGTCGTCACACTCGGCATGCCTCTCTTCCCTCCCACCAACACCTGTTGCGTTTACTCTCCCGCCAATCTCGACGACAAGGGGGAGCTCGACTTGAAGGAAATGAAGTGTGGTGGTTATGCTTCGGTTGTGTCGCTTGGGGATAACCCCACTGACCCTACGCATTGGGTCTATGGTGTGGCCTTGAAGTACTCTTACGGGGTTTTGGATAATAACTATGTCACCACTAAGTGTAGTGGTTGTGAGAGTAGTGGCGGCGTATGCGGGTTTGCTCCACCAGGGAATGGCTTTGTGTGTGTTTGTAAAGGAGGCTATAACACTAGCCTTGATTGCTCTAGTTATAACCAGAACCAGGACTACGTCTGGGACTCTACCTCTGCTTCTTTCTCCACCCGTAAGTTTTTCTTTTTCTTTCATTTTTTTTCAAACAATGTCAAAATGTTCCATTTTCTTTGTGTTCTTCACTCTTTCTTTTTTTTTTGGTTATATGTTCTTCACTCTTTCACCTTTCATATATTCTCACATGTAGTTAAGCAAAATTACCGTTGCTTTATTATATGCGATAGAACTAGTGAGGGAATGGATATTTTTATATGAAAATTTAAAATTATATATTTACCATATATGGTAAGTGATATAATTACTTTAAAAAATTACATGATTTATCACAAAAGTTACCTAATTATTAATATAAGATGCAACAATAAATATTTACCAGAAATAGTCTTCCACTAAATATTCCTCCGTACATACGCATACACGTACACACAAAATTTTATATGTCCAAAGGAAATATTATTCTTGTACATACATAGACGGAATCCGATGCGAAAGTGCAAAGCTTTTTAATAATCTTATCTCTCTAGCGAAAAAATGTGTATATGGTTATACTTATACCTGTACCGTTATAAATCTTCTGTTCTGTGACTGATTAGCAGCATATGTTTGGAGTTGCATTTTTACTGGTATCATTTGGAGCTTAGCGTGATAAGGATTCAGGGGAGCCATTCACTGGATGACATCATCAGCCTCTTTTAATACGTAAAAGTTGCTTTAGCAAAGTGTATTTAAACAAAAGGAATAAAGGTATTCCGCATCCATCCCTATATTGTAGTCTTTGTGGATTCTTTCTCTGTTAAAAATAGTTTATCACAAAATTGGTGAGAATAACTAGCTTGCGAATTCATCCGTGGACCGTAGTTTTAGTGGATATTTTAGTAACTAGAATTTTAATCTCTTGGAGTAAAACATGTTCTGGTAAAACATAGGCCGTATTTTAATATTTATTTCTTTACCCGTTTGTGAATTTATTTCTATTTACATTTTACTATTTTTAGTGACCGTTTTGGTTTTTTATTTTTATAAGATGTTTGTAAGCAGTATGACTCATGTAATGCAAACGCTACTTATAACTAAAGTATATTTTAAAAGAATAACTTTTTTAGAGTTTACCTAGAAAATATAGGTTGTCAAACAAGTTGAATTAAATAAATTTACTGATACCAGTAAGCGCATAGATCAAATGACTGATAAAGAGCTATTATTCTAGTTTATCCAGTTATTTTAAATTTGAGTTCTAAAATTGCAACTTCATTAAAATTTAATAATAATAATAATAATAATAAGGCTTAATTGTCCTTGAAAGTCCTAAGTAACTTAAATAAGATGGACCAAAGCCGAAAGAGAGAAAAATGAGGATGTTATAGATTGGTTGGATGGGCTAGAGTGTGCACAAAGGAGGCCTAAAGCCCCCAAAAGGATTCCTTATTAACCCTTCATTTTATTCCTTGTTTCTTTTCCTTTCTTTGATGCTTCCTTTCTTTTTCTTTCTCTTTTAAACTGCCAAAGAGAGCAGTAACTAATTGATTATTGACAGTCAGCACTGTAATACCAATATGATTCTTTATTATTCTCAAAACCAGGGTGGTTGACACCGGAAATGCAGACACTGTAGTGTTCAAATACATACACCGCCTCATGATATTATTACACATGCAATCCATGTTTCCTTAGTAATAACTTTCTTTGAATCGGACTCTATCCCTAGCCCAGTGTTCTGAATTATGATTTCATAGTCGATGATCAATAAAATTGATTTTCTAAGGCCCATCTACATTCATTAAATTGGCAGAAGATGCACTCTTCTATTTCTCTACAGAGAACCCGATTTACATACATACTATCCCTTTTCATCCTATCCGAGAAAAAGAACAGCATGGCTGACAATGTAAGCATATAGAAAAGTATATTCATAATGCTGAAAATTAAATCTTTTCCATTCTCTAGGTCGACCTTGCTAATCCACCTTGCGAGAATTACTGTGGTTTTCTTGCATAGATGGTGTAATGGGATCAATGAGGAATGATTTTAAATTCAGGTACATCTCCTTGGGTTTCTCTATATTGAGTGCATGCCCTGCATTCTTAATAACCACTAGTTGTGCCTTCTCTCCAAGATGCCTACACAGCAGAAAAAATAATGAAATTTAGAGTCCAAGCAATCGAGAAGTGTGATGAAGATTGCTCTATCAGATGTCTTTTCGATAACCTTGAAGATACAAACCCAATAAAGCAGAAGGGACTGCTTTTACTTCGTCTAGAAGTTATAACTAAAACATATTCATGGTCCTAAATTGTGGAGATATTTTTTTAAGATAAAATCAATACAGTACTAAAATTACTTTTAAAAGTTAAAAATACCTCTTCAGCCTGTGAGCTAATTCTAATGGGAATACCCGGTCTTGTTCTCCCCAGATTAGTAATGTTGGCTGAATCATTGAAAAGTTTAGCCTTTTAAGAAGCCACAGTGCAAGATAGCAAAATGTGGTGAAATTAACTCATAATGTAAGGTGAAGAGAGAAGAAAAACCTGGGTTATCTTAGGAAGATTAGCAAGTTTTCTATCCTTATGCAATGCTTCGATTAGTTCTTTTCTCTCCTGGCGGTTTTCAGTGCACATCACCTGCCAGTAAAACCAGTTTCGAGTTCAGCAACAAATCTTGGTAAATTGGCAAATCTGTGCCTGTGTATTCAATGTTCAAGCAGTCACACAGCTTGTTTTCAATCACAAAGGCAACGGACAGATATAATTTTTTCTCGAATCCAATAGTGTTTAAAAATAGAATGCAACCTAAAAACTATAACTAAGCAAGAACATTCATATGCAATCCAATCACACAACAAATGTTAACTATCAAACGGGACAATAGAACAAACCATCTATTGGACGAAGATTTGCAAAAACTACTAGTATATTGAAGTTTCCAACTACAAATTTGACATTGATGACTGGATTTATTGATTGAAGGCTCCACCTACCTATATGCCATTGATAGCTAGATTTAGTCTGAAAATAACTCTATCGTCCTACAGCCTCTACCTCTATATATATAAATATCATTCATTCCTATTATTATTATTCTTCCATTTATTCATTAAAAATGCACCATGATGGTGAAATCTAAAGTAATATTTGGTTTAGAATTATATTTTCTTTTTACTTTTAACCACAATATTGTTATCTTATTTTCATTCCATTTCTAACAATTTGAAAGCAAACAGTGAGAAAATCAATATTTTTTATTTAAATCTTTAAAAATTAAAAACAAAAAAGATTTTCTCAAACCAAATAATCCCCAAATGACACATAAGACATCAAGCATCATACAGTCAGAAAGGAAAACGCTCCTTCCGCTTTATCAGGAAATATAATTCACACGGATGATGTGAAGCCATAACAAGAACATAATTTTATCTTTTATAAGAAATAATAAATATAAAATAGAAACATCCGACCAACCCACTCAACAATAATGCAAGGTTCTATTCTATCTCCTACTAGCAATCTTAAACATGTATCTAAAAAGAGCACAAATAATACCACCAATCATGTAAAATAAATCGGATCACACACGACAGTCTACTATCCAAAACTACAATCAAATTCAGGGGCCGCTTAATAAATAAAATAATTAACGAGTGGCAGGAACAGACTCACATGAATGAAATCAGTAAGAAAACATGTGGGCATGAGTTTGATGGGTTTGGCAAACGCGAGTTGCACGAGCTCCCTCATTTTTTCTGGCGTCTGTGGAAGCAAAATATTAACGGCGTCGTCAACGCTCTTCACCTTAAACATCCCTTCGTCCATGTCTCTCTCTTCCAAACAAACCCCAGTGCAACACAGCGCCACCTTCTCAACTCGCTCAGGGAAGTGGGCCGCCATGCTGTAGGCCACGAAGCCACCGTAGCTTATGCCGACAACGCTCGTTTTGTGAACACCGTGAGCCTCCAACAGGGCCGCGACGGAGCGGGCCTGAAAGGACTCGGACCTATCGGGGCGGGCCGAGTAGGAATCCCCGAAGAAGAGGAGGTCGGGGACGTAGACGTTGAAGCGGTGAGTGAAGGGTGAAACGAAGTGGTTCCACTGCCACATTGCGTTGGCTCCGATGCCGTGGATTAGGAGAAGGGAGGGTTTGGAGTGTTTGGGGGTTTTGGGGACCCAGCAATGCATGATGGTTCCGCCTCCGAGATCTGTTGTTGTGGATTTGAGGCCTGCGCTGGAGAAGGAGTAGCGGTAGCACCGGTCGCGCGTGGCAGTGAAGCTGAAACACCCCGCCATTGAAGATTGTTTCGAGAAAGTTAATGAGATTGTTGTTGTTGGGTTGAAGGAAGTGATTGGGTGATCATTGGAGAGAACAGTGGAGAGTGTTTTTGCGTTGTCGCAGAGTGGAAGATTTTAGACTGATCTTAGGACAGGGACGGGTGAAGCGGGACAAATGATTGTGTATGACAAAACTCCGCAGATAATACTTTTTCAACTTTTGTTATATTTCTAATTAAAATTTCTTAATAATTTGTTAAGATTTTTCTAAAAATTACTAATTAACTTAAAATTACTATTGATTTGTTGATCATTCTAAACAAATTATTGAGATTTTGTATATAAAAAATAACATTAATAATATGTATAATTGTACCTTAAATTATTTTTTTCTTGTAATTATTATTAATTAATATGAGAACAGATAACTGCCTCTTCATGACTCACGAGCTTCAACTACTCCCACTTGCTCCAAATTTATGACATTTGCGAGATTTATCCTTCTGGACATTGCAGTAAAGCAAGTAGCGCGGTGGAGCGTGGATTGTGGATCTGATTCTGGCGAATGCGTCGTCGAAATGACGACGCTCTGTGTGGTTGTTGCTCCCTTCAGAATTTTTACATATGCAACTGAATTCTGTCTCTTCTAAACAATGCTTTGATCTCCCACACTACCATCGATTCCGCTGTCAGAACTTTGAATATTTCTTATATAACATTTTTTTATGTGATAATTATGTAATAACTTCTATATATTTTGAATAATTTGTATTTATATTTTAAAATAATAAAATTGTATATTTTTATCTAATGATTTTTTAAGATATGTAAAAAAAATATTAAGAGAATGAATAAAAAAAGTCTTATGATAAGCTTGTTAAGCTTATTTCATTATAATCGTCTATTTTAATTCAATAATTTGTTAAAATATATCTGAATGTGCATGTTAGAGGTCACGGACATTAATTCCCTCCATCGGTGGACCTTACTTTGAAAGAATTGATTTGTTAAATAAAACTGTTGTGATAAAAATTGAAAAAGACAAATTATCAATGCAATTAATAAATTAATTAATTAATGAACGTATATATATATATATATATATATATATATATATATATATATATATAATTTTTCAATTTAATAAAAATTTAATAATAATATACATATAACGTAACAGAGTTAGGAAGGTGGGTATATGCGGACTTTGCCGTATCTTGAGATCACATCCATAAATACACATGGAATCATCCTTATTTTAGACCCATAAATTGAATGCAATATTTATTTTAATTTTAGATTATTAAAATCAACCATTTTGTTGGTTGCACGAACATTCATTGCTTTAGTCGTAACGTGGAAGGTTAAAATTTATGAATGGAATGAAAACGGATAAAATAATTATTATAAATTTTAATATTTTTTATTATGTAACTATGTATAATTAAATGATAGTATAAATAAGTGTATTTTAAATATTTATTGAAGTTTATTCCAATTTTTATCTTAATATTTCATTTTGACATACACACACAATTAAATTGGGCTTATTGTTCTGGACCCTACTCTTTTATTATAGTCTCTGAGATGCTGCTCTGTCTCTTTTGTAGATAGTAAGAACAAAATATCCATCAACTACCAAATTTGGTCTTCACCATCTAAACCAAGCATGAGCTGAGAGTTTTTTCTTTTTTTATGTACTTATTAATTTGGACACTACTCTTTGTCTCGATCATTGGAGTGGCAAATGCCCATTTACCCCAAATAATAAAAAATAGCATGTACGTCCTCCCTCTAAAATAAAAAGTCGCTTGTGAGTGTTTTTAACTTTTTGGAATTTGAAATTAATTTTGGGCCTCAACTAGTCGAAGTTGAATAAGTGAATCCATTTGAGAGGCAAAATTTACTTAATGTCTATTTTTTTATTACTAAATTTTAAATTATATATTTTATTCAAAGAGAGTCAAATTCTATATAATTTTAAATTAAAAAATATATTATTTATTATAATAAATATATTTATTATTAAATCACTTACAAACTGATTGAAGCTTGATCAATCAGAGTGTCCATGCATGAACATTGCACCACACGATTAGAGATGTTGTGGATATGGAACTCCTTTGGCTACAATCCTCACGAACTAAGTTATCCCACTCTAGCTTTGTCCCCTAAACCTGCACAGACTTCATATATCTAAAAAAACTACTATGATCACTTTGGTACACGCTTTCAATTCTCTACTCATTTTGTCATTCGTATTATTTAAAATGCTAATTTAAATGTTAAAGTGTCTTTATAGGTACACTCGTTATTGTTGCCCCTCAAATAATTTTCGTATCTGTTTTAGTCGTTTTATGGCATATTTTATTCGTAAAGAATTGTACAGGACTTTTTATTGTTGGGTTTTATTATTTCATACTATTTAAAAAATAGTTTAGAAGAGTTTATAAAATAAAATTTTCTGTCTAAATTATGCTTTTCTATATATAAAATATTTCTGCTTGAGCTAAAAAATAATCATAACACAATGAAATTATCCTCTCCAACTCTTGATCTTGACTTTATAAAATTTACTATGAAATTTGCGTTAATGAAGTATATTAATTAATATTACGAATACTTGTAAAATATAATATAAAATTGATATAATTATTCTTTTGCTAATCTTGAATATTAATTGTTTATTTTATATTAAAAAATTAGAAAGAGTATTTACTAAATTTTTATTGTGTCTTTGGATATAATTTAGAAAAATAAAATAAAATATCATAAATATTAAATTTTTTTATACTTTTAAGAAAATAATCTGTATATTTTTATTTAAGATTTGTTTTATAAAATATTGAGAAAGACTCGTTATAAAAAGAAACGATATAACTTCCATAAGGAGTTATTAATTAGTAATTATATGGATTATCAATTAAAAGGCTAAAAGATTGAAATAATATATTTTTAAAAATAAATTACCAAAATAAATTAAAATTCAAACAATTTCTTTGTCTGGAGCAAATTTTTGCCAACTCAGTACTAGTTTTGTATAAAAGTCAGATAAAACTATTTTTTTTTATTTAAGCATTTAGTCTAAGAGTGGGACGAAACAGTACGTGTTAATTTCGTCTGACAGTGAGACAAAATTGTAGGATGTTGACACATGTCCGTATCTCGGTAAATTCATCTGAATTTTGGATGAAACCATTGGATGTTGACACGTGGTTCAATCTTATTAATTTCATCTTGAAATTGGACAAAATCATGTGTAAATCGTCTCAGTCTTCGACGAAATCATAAGATTATGCAACGTGCCACAATCTTGTCAATTACCCCCGATCCCTCGCCTGCTACTGCCCCTAAAAATCCAGCATAATTGTAGTATATTATGTATGCAAATAAGCAACGAAATTGAAGTGCAGAAGTGTTTCTAAACTTTCAAAGACTTGTTCTTCTCCAGTTTAGTAAATTTTAGATATTTTATGGGTTTTTTTGTTATTAATGTTTTATTAAAATTATAATTTTTTAATTAATAAAATAAATAGAGATAGTTAAAATTTATGAATATTTAGTAAATATATTGGTGTGAATGTTAAAATGAAAATGTAATTATTTAAATGTTATTAAGAAAATATAAAAGTTAGGAGATAATTAATATTAACTTGTGTAATAAATAAAAATAATGTTATATTTGTTGTAAGAATTTATTTTATATATGTGAAATATGTATATAAACTATTAAATTATTTGTAATATAAGATGATATAAATGTTGTAATATGTTTGTGTATGTTAATAAAGATTTAATAATTTATTATTTATATTAATAAGTATAGTTAAAATTGTTTATTGATATTTATTTTTATTTTTTATAAATGCAGGATGAGTGAGATTATTATTATTGTATATTGGAATGGAAAAATTGTTGTTGAAAACGAATGTGTGACATTTGAAGGTAACAAAAAAATGATAAAGGATAAGTTTTATGAATTTGAAAACAAAGATTCATGACAAGTTGAATCTTAGTAATAATAATTTCATATCTAGAATAATTTCTCGTTTTATGGTTGATTCAAGCGCTAAACAATATACTGCATTGGATATATGTGATGATGAAGACATTGATTGTATGATTAATGCGTATCAACAACAAAGTATTACAACTGTTATTGAATTATATGTGGAGATTGCATTTGGTGAGAGTTCAAGAGGTGGGTCAAATATGTTGAACTTAAGCTTATCAATGTCACCGCCTAACCTTATGGAAATAACGAATATAAATATTACAGAAGGTATAAATTAAACTATAATTTTAATATTTTTTTTATTTTTAGTGACTACACATATTGAATAAGTGTATGTGTTTTGAAGGATGTGCAGAATTATGCAGTTATGAAGATGAAGATAAAGTCAATAGTGATTATGATGATATTGATGAAGGACATATTCTGTTAGACAACTCATCGGATACAGATGTAGATGGTGATTTTGATTCAAATTTAAATTTACAACAAGAAAGTGTTGGAGATATTATTTATAGAGTATATTGATTAAATAAATTATTTTTTATGGATGAATATTTACTGTTTACATATAGTTGTAGGTGAAATACCTTTTTGGAATATAAGTCCACACTACAATTATATTAATTGGGATCACCCAGACCAAGAAATTGAAGCAGAAGAAATTAGTGATGACAATTCATGGGTTATTAGAGATGCGTTACATGTGGGTTTATTATTTGAGTCAAAAGAGGAAGTGAAAAATGCCTTAAAATAGCATGCAATAAAAATACATCAAAGTTATTATGTTGTTGAGTCAAAACCAACAAAATTGTATGTGAGGTGTTTAAACCATAACAATGGTTGTACTTGGAGAATAAGAGCATCATTGCTTAAAAATACAACAAAGTGGAAAATAACAAGGTGTGAGGGTAAACATACGTGTCTCAACCCAACAATATCTCAAGATCATACCAAGCTAGATTCAGATTTGATTTGTTCATGCATCATTAGTAAGTTTTGCATTAAATCTTATTTTATGAAGGCTTTTGACAATAAAAGGACTAACCTCTTTTGTTTTTTGTTATGTAGGT